AGGGGAACAGTGGTAACAGCAACTGTAAAAAAAAAAAAAAAAAAAAATCCAGTCCCAGCAGGAGGTGGGAGGAGGCAGCCTTTGGCCAGACATAGCTCTCAGGAGGAAAGCCAAACTTTCTCTCCTGCAAGCTGGCATCTCTGCCATTCATCACGTTTGGGCTGATTCTAGGTTTCCACCTGTCAGCTTCTGCCAGTGCCCAGAGGCTGAGGGATAGACCAAATGATTTCTCTAGCTCCTTCTGACTTAGCTGTCCATGATTTGGAGAGAAAGAGCAGTGGTAAAGCGAGGACTAAGTGTGAACTGGCCTTTTTTTTAGGCAGATAAAGACTTGTTTTTTTATTGAATGAGTGATGCTTATAGTTGCCAAGGCCACTATGTACAAAGAGGGGAGAACTTTATTTCTTGGTTTTTCCTTCTTGGACGGAGTCCTTATGATTTCCTCCTTCTTGGCCTGGAGCCGCTCTTCATGGCGCTTGTGGGCTTCCTTGGTCTTCAACCTGTAGGCCTCAGCCTGGTCCGCCAGAAGTTTCTTGCAAGCCTAGTCTGCCTTCAGTTTGCGGATATGTTCCAGGAGAATCTGCTTGTTTCTGAACATATTACCCTTCACTTTAAGGTACAGACTGTGATACATGTAGTGGTCAATCTTCTTAGGTTCACAGTATCTTCTGAGAAGCCGGCGCGGAATTCTCAGCCTCCTCATCTAGGTTACCTTCTCATCGGAGCATTGGCAGTACCCTTTCCCTTACCTATGCCTCTGTGCATCCTGTTCCAGTGGGCCAAGGTGTCTTTCCAGCATCGAGCCTGGAATGGACCATCATAGTCTTTCAGATCATCAGCCCATCTTTGATCAGCTTCTAGAGCTGCTGATGTGAGGCGGCATTGGTGATTTCATTAGTCTTATTGGGGCCTAACAAGACCTTTTTGCCACAGCGGAGGATGCTGAAGGCAAGCCTCTTCTGAAGCCTGAGCATATTTCTGGTTGCGGCCGCAGAGGCAAAATGGTGAACTGGCATTTTTTCATTCCACTCTGCTTTCCTCCTACCATGTCCCAGACACTGAGCCTGCCCAAGGTGTATGTGTCTGTGTGTAAATGACCTATAGTTCCCCACCACACTAAACAAAAAAATTAAAATGCTGTTTCTCCTTTACTGCCTTCCACCTGTCACCCAAGAATAGAAAGCTCACTTGTCATGGGACTCAGTTTCCTCAGACCTCATCAGAGACACTCAACTTCACATTTCCAAGGAGAGCCTTGGCTATTTATCCTCTGATACATACCCAAAGGCTGAGTTCTCCCTTTCCCATTCCAGGTCCCAGGTTTGCGGAAAGGCTACTCATGGGCTTCATCCACTTCAGACTTGAAGTGTCAAAGGGGGGATGATTTCAAACGCACAAGCTATGTTGCCCCCTGCTTCATGATGTGCATGGGCACTTGGCGTGCTCAGTCGTGTCCAAGTCTTTGCGACTCATGGAGTGTAGCCTGCCAGGTTCCTCTATCCATGGGATTCTCCAGACAAGAATACTGGGTTGGGTTGCCATTTCCTGCTTTAGGAGATCTTCCCAACCCAGGGACTGAACCTGCATCTCTTACATTTCCTCATTAGCAGGCAGATTCTTTACCTTCATGACACAGCTCTTGTAACCTATGAAGCAAAGTTAGCAGTGAGGACCTGAACTGACCCCAGCTGCTTCAGGGCTCTTCCTGCCCCTGGCATCTCTCTTTTGGTTCTGCCCACATCCTTGTGACCTTAGTCAAGGTCTGAGAAAGCCTGCTGTAGTAGAAAGAGCCCTATTGTCTTGAGTTCCAAGCTCTTCTTTGCCATTTAACAGCATGTGATTGGGGGAAAATCATTTATGAGCCTCAATTTTCCCTGTCTATGAGATGGAAGTAATAATAGGTGCCATGACTGAAGGGTTAAGAAACTTAATAATAGTGAATATAAAACAACACTCAGGACATCAAGAATAGGCTTTTTCATTAGTTGCTAAGTGAGTACAAAGTCAGAGCACAAAGTGTTCCTTTTTTCAAAAAACTTTTAGTTTTATTGGAGTATAGCTGATTTACAATGTTGTATTCAGTATTCTTTAATAGATTAATGGTTAAACATGGTACATCTGTGGTACATCCATATCTTGAAATAAATAAAATAAACTACTGATACATTAAAAAACTCGGATGGATCTTCAGAGGATTATGCTGAGTGAAAAAAAATCCAATCCCCAAAAGTTACACAGTGTATGATTCCATTTTCAAATGACAAAATTTTAGAAGTGGAGGGTATATTAGTGGTTGTCAAGGGTTAAGAAGGGGGTGACGTAGAGGCGTGATCATTAAAAGAGTAACATGAAGAATCCTTGTGGTGCTGGAACTGTGGTAGCAGATTTAAGAATTTACAGAGGTAATAAAATTGCATAGAACTTAATAGATACACATATACAGGTTAAACTGGGGAAATATGACTAAGACTGGTGGTTTGAAATAATGGCAATATTCTGGTTGTGATGTTATGCTACAGTTTTACAAGATGTTACTACTGGGTGAAAGTGGGCAAAATGTATAAGGAAACTCTCTGTATTATTTTTACAACTGCAATTACCTAAATTTTTAAAAAGGATATGATAGATTATTAATGTTTCTGCTGGGTATAGGAGAGAGAAGGGGCTGCCCTTGTGTTCCCACTGCAGAATTCCAAAGAGGAAGATTAAAAAATATTATTCTCATTGCACCAATAAGATGATTGTAACTATGGGGACTGGGGTATTTGTATCTGTTGTACCAGTAATTTCACTCCCTTGAATTTACTTTAAAAATTGCATGAAGTTTTTCACAAGAAAAAAAGAATTCTGTAACTATTACGGTGATGGATGTTAACTAGACTCACTGTGATGATAATTTTGCAATATATACAAATACTGGACCATTATGTTGTAACCTGAAACTAATAAAATGTTGTATATCAATTATACTTCAATAAAAAATGAAAAAAAAACACAAAGTTTTATGTGGTAGGATGTTCATCATGGTATTACCTGTAACAGTAAACATATCTAAATGATTAAAATAGTGGATGAGCTTTATAAATCATGACATATCTAGGTGATGAAATAGTCTACAGACTTTAAACATCCTTAAAAATATAATACACCAAGAACAATGCCAGGTAGTTCTCATTTTACTGAGATGTTCCGGGTATTTAAAAGAGCTAATACAGGTAAACGCACTTACAAACTGTAAAGTGCTTGGCAAGCGCTCTGTGTTGCTATCTTTTTATTTTGGCTGTGCTGCCCAGCACTTAGGATCTTAGTTCCCTGACCAGGGATGGAACACACACGCCCCCTGCAGTGGAAGCACAGAGTCCTAACCACTGGACCACCAGGGCTTTCCATTCCTCTGTGTTACCTTACTGGCTGTCTCTCCCAGCTCCATTCTAGATGAAGCTGTACTTCCAGGCAGGACACTACCTGTGGAGCTCCGAGCTGAAGTCATGGGTATGCGGAAACTGACTTCTTCTGGAGTGTGACTCAAAGGACTGGGGCTACTTCCTTTCCAGGAGACTGCTGCCCTGTTTCACATCATCAGTAAAACTATGGACATTACCCCCAGCACTTGCACAAACTCACATTTGGCTATAATTCCAGGGGATTCATAAGAGCCTTTGAAGAAATCAGCCCTGATGACTCTGAAAAAGTAGTAGACTATTGTATCAACCACTATTGACTGAGCACCTACTCAGTATCAGGCACTTTCTGAGGTACTTTACACACATGATTTCACTAGATTCTCTTCACCATCTTAAAAGGTTATCTACATTTCACAGGCAAGGAAACTAGGGCTAAAAGAGGTTACGGGATTTACCAAGGTGGCACAGCTAGTGAACAGCAGCACCAGCACTGGAACTCAAGGCTGTCAGCCCATAAGTTTACAATCTAACCACCACACATACTAGGTTTAGAACTGAGGGGGAAACTGCACTGAGGTTCACATCTTGAGGAGCCCCAGAAAATTACCCCTGCTCTTCCAATGCCCCTTGGGTAAACACAGACTTAAAACCATCCAAGGCAAAAGAAAAGTCTCTAAAGAGAAGTAGGTCCATTCTGAAGTCTTATACCCCACGAGTAAGTTTTTTCCATATGTCTAACCTCTATCCTTTCTGCTAAAATCCTATCCTTTTACTTCTCTTGTTTCCAGCGGGGATGGTGAATATATGACATGATGCCCCTCCATGAAAGGTCCTGGGACCAGATGGCATAGAGGAGTTTCTCTTTCCACAGGACTGTTGAGGCCTCAGTTCCCTTGGTCTCTTGGATCTTCCCCAATGTATCAAACCAAACAATGAGCAGGAGAAAATGGCTTAGGAAACTAGACCAAGGAGATCAGCTTGGAGGGTGGCCTGGGACTCTCTCAGGACCTTAGTGCTGGGCTCAGGGTGAAGTTAAGGTGGGCAATTTTCCCCGCCAGGCTCAGCAGCCAGCTTCAGGTTTGACATCTACTCAGCTGTGGAGGTCTGGCCAGCACGGTTCATGCCAGAGCCTCTTGTTTGTCTCAATATGACGTCTCTATAGAAAGGAGGGGCCCCAGGGGTTCTGCCACTCTGCATTTATTCCTCCTGTCTCAATACTACCTTGTTGTACTTGCTCAGGAGCAGCCAGTCCACTGAGGATGGGGGCGCTTCAAGATAACCAGGGAGGAGAATAATCTTGTGAGAAGCAGCCTGGGATCCTGACTTTTCTCTCAACATGAGAGTCAGGAAGGAAACTGGGGCCCGAGTCCAGACACAGATTGGGAAGAAGAGGTGTCTTCCGTCCCTCTGTCTCTCCTTCCCTCCTCCAAGCACTATTCTACCCTGCTGGGACCTAAGCAGGCCCACTGCTCACTTTGGCTTCCCTTGACCCACCTATCTTATGGACAGGAGAGGGTTAAAGACATGGTATGGGCAAGCCATAAATTTCCCATCAGTGTGGGGAGAGGAGGACTGTTGGCAGGGAGGGGGGTAAGCTGGGGGGGGGAGGGGGAGCTGGGAAAAAGCCAGGAGGTTGTCTCTAGGTAACAATAAACACTGCAAGCAAGGAGCAGCTGTTACACTTACTCTCTCTGCATCACAATGCTGAAATAACACTAATAAACCAATGTGCCCAATGCACAGGCATATACACATTCAGGGCCAAGCTCTGCTGTACCCCTAGAGCTGCCCTTTGCTTCAGGTCAGGGCCCTTGGTGCCAGTGGACATGCTTGTCTTGGCCTCGCTATACTTATGTGGAGGATGAGGACTGGTGAGTCAGTCTCAGAGCCAGAGTGGCACTCTCAAAAGAAGGAGGGTTTCAGAGGCTGGGGATTCTGGGTTCAGAACCGGAGGGCTTTTACCGATGGGAAGAGGTCAAGTGGGGTAACTCTTGGCTGGGAGCTGGGAGGAGCGGAGGAGAGTGAGAAAAAAGTGTAGGAAACAGACAACTACTTACCATGTCTTCTCAGATTGGAGGGCATGAGGTAGCCAGAAGTGGAGTCGGCTAAATGGAGGTGGAAGTTAAAGGAGGTTTGAGGAGAAGGTTTAAGAGGTGGTATTGTGGAGTGATCCTTGTATCTCCTGGAGTTGAACTCCCCATACCTGCCTACACCCAACCAGGTGCACCAAGCCTCCCTCTTACAGCACCACTTTTATAGCAGAGCCAGGTGATATGTCAGTTCAGTTCAGGGTTGAGCTTTATTATGGGTGTTCCAGCAGGGGTGCCTGGGTTCCTGATGCTGCCAGGAAGAGCTGGGGAAGTGGAACTGGTCACGTCTCCCTACACAAAGAGCAGCTAGCCTGTCCCTTTGTCCAGCCAAAACTGTCTCTGGATCCCCAGGAGCATCCCAGCAGAGGGGTCCCTCACTGCTGCTGGACAGCAGAGCTGCCATCAGTGAAAAGAATAGAAATAGGCGAATGAAAACTTAGGTTCTCTCAGAGAACTCCTCTCCGATTCTTCTCTGAGGTTAGGAGGAGGATATTTATTAATTGTCTAGATACACTGGTATCCAAGATCCTTATTTCCTTTTGCTGAAACAGAGAGGCCCCTGGGACTGTGGTCAGGGGCATGGCTAGTTCTCCTAATTTTCTTTCTGGTCCTGTTCTGCTGGTGTGGCCTTAAACATAGTATTTTATCATCCCCCTGATTCAGAAAGTCTGGAGAAGATGCACATCGCCTACTTGGCCTGTAAGGGAAGAGAAAATCAGCACCTTTGAAGACCACAGTTTCTGTTTCCAGCAAAGAAAGTGTAAGACCAAGTGGTAATCCTTCCATGTTCTGGTCTTAAAATAGTGCCCCCCTACTTTAAAAAAATTTCTGGGTGTCAGCTGGGTGCCCAGAGCTGTGGCAGGCAAGAGAGGGCAGGGAGAGTAGCTGTGTCTGCCCAGGAGTGCCGAGCTGCCCAGCACACCACCCTGTGTGTAGCCCGTGGACACGGCAGAGTAAGAATAACTAGCCTCTCCTATCCTTTCCTCACTGAGAAGCCTCTCCCTGGGAATGCTCAGCGTTCCCTGTCATCTTCTCTCCTATTTCCCTCTCTTCTTTCTTAGCTGGGGTCTCTCCTTGCCCCACAATACAGATGAGACCTCTATCCACAGAGCGCAGAGTGGGGGAGAAATGGGGCAAAAGGGAGCTCTAACAGGCCCTGACACCTTCTCCTCTGGTGTTATCATGAGCCACCCCCCATTGTTATGAGTCACCAGAACCTTGAGCTCAGTTGAGCTGCCAGCAGCCTTCTCCCTCCCCACAGCCACTCCAGCCAGGCAGACAGGCACCTACAGGACCCAAGAGCCCATCATCTTCCTACACCCAGGGCCACAGTCCCCTTCTTAATCCCTAGGAATCTGCACCACAGATACACTGAGACGCATTAGAAAGAAGTGTGAGAGACCCCAGCACGTGCTCTGTGCTGGAGCAGAGAGCCAGCTGCCCGTACGGCAGAGCAGGGTCACCAGCCAGGAAACCTGGCACAGCCTGGCCACAGAGCCTTGTCAGCACATGAGAAGGCGCATGAGACAGGACGAGGTATGGGGGCGTTTCAGGAGCAGGCGTCTCCTCCTGTCCCTCTCTGGTCTCTGTCTCTGCTCCTTGGCTTCTCTGCCCAGGTACTGATGGACATCATGGCACCGCCACCTCTGAAATGTCTTCCTTTGCCTCCTCCATGGCTTTGGGAGTTAGAGAATGGTCTGCTTGGTGACCTTCGAGGTGTCAAGGTGGGAGGTTCAGACATCCAGCTCTCTTCCCAACCAGTGGGACACACTGAGGGAGAAGGAGGAAAGGAGCCCCATCAGAGTAAACGTTAAACCTGGGCCAACACAGAGTCCCTCAGCAACCCCTCTTCTCCAGACTGCAGGGGATACTGGGTGCTGCTACCTCTGCCTTCCACTTACTTCAAGTCTATCCCTCTTTCCCTGCAAAAGCTCAGGGTTACTTCTGGATTCCAGAGCAGGCTCCAGGCTCTGACTCCAAGGCTGTAAATGTCATACCCTTGGTTAAATCTTGAGTGTGAGGCAGGGCTTGTGGGGATTGAGGGGAGGGAAGTCTTGTTCCTGACAGAAACATCAAGAATCTATCAATAATCGAATGGTTTAAGGGCCTTTTAGCTCCTCTAGTATACCTCTAATCCTGGAGTAGAGATATACAAGGGGTGAGAAAGAGGGCCTTCAGAAAGCCTGACGCATCTTGTCTTTCTCCATTGAATGCTCTTCCGTTGCTCTGTTTCTCTAAACAAGAGCCATCTAATAAATCTCCTCAACAACACTCAGTACGACTAGCATGCTTTGAGTTAGGTAGCAACCCCCCGCCCAAAGGTGGGACTACAGGCCTCAGTTTCCAAATTAACCCTCTCTATCTTTCCTCCTTCTGGCTTCTCCCTGACCTACTCTCACAAGAAAACCTTCCTTTTCAACTCCCTAGCACAATTCCCGCCACCCCCCACCTCCCCCCACCATTGCACCTCTTCCTGCAGATCCTTGGAAGCAGGGGCAATGCAAGGGGGCCGCCTTATCTTGTTGGTAGCAGAAAGGGCAGAGAATCAGACAGCCAAGGAGATGGCCCTGAAGGTCCAAGAAAAGGGAAGAGTGAGCCTGCGGGCACTTAGAAAGGCACATCTGGGTCTTTCCTAGGGACTTTGGGGATATTAAATGGTGGGTGTACTGAGATGAGAACATATTTCTGGGAGTAGGGGATAAGTATTGGGGGCTTGGAGAGTGTGACAAAGTTTCTTAAATCACACAGCTTTCCAAGCTCTCGGCCCATCCTTGTCCAGACCTCAACTTGGTCTCATGAAGCACAGAACAAACAATGTTAAATTTTTTTTTAATGTTGACTTTTTTGAGGAAGGAAGGAGATGCCAAGAAATGCCATCTTTGGCAACTTGGTGGGCAAGTCACTTCTCCCCATAAACCTTTCTTAACTCTAGCATCTGAACAGTGAAGGAGGTGAGGGTGGGGACAGCTGGAAACGTGCCCCCCTCTCCAGTGTGCATCAATACCTTATAGAATCAGACGGGGCTTCACTAAGAGCTTTGGGCCATGGTGCTGCACAAATACAGGGGCATTTCTGACTCAGCTTTCAGAGCCTTGAGTTTTAATTCTATCTCTCTTCTTGGCCTAGACATAGGACAAGACCACACCTTGCTACATTTTGGGGCATAATTTTCTCTAGCAGTTTTTACTGCAGCAGAGAAATTTGTGATAAGATCTCGGAAAAAGTTCAATATTTAGTCGCCATTGGGGAATCTATACCTTGGTTAAGGAACTGGGTAAGTTGATGTATTTCCTTCCCTGAGCCTTTTCGAATACAGTAAAATCTCATGGGAGTGGGTAGTTCTGGAGGATCTGTCTACATGAAAGCAAGGGAATGGAGATGCCCTCTGGAACAGATTGTATGAGGGAAATGTCCACCCAGTAATGCACCCACCTTACTCCCTTAAGTTGCTTTCAAAACTCAGGGGTCAGAGACAGGAGACTCCAAGAAACGGAAAATAATACTCTCCCAAACCTTTCCCCTTGACTTTCCTCCCGATACCCTACCTACCTACATTTTCTGGTGTTCCCAGGAATACCCCAAATCCAGGAACAAAAGCAACTCCAGGACAAGATTCAACTGATTTCCCTTCTCTGGGTCTCCGTTTTCACATCTGTAAAACGAACAGTTTGAAGAGACGAGCTCCAAGTTCTCTTCCTCACCACAGTAAGGGTCTGTGATCCATACCCCAAGGCATCAGCACTCATTTGCATGTAGTCTCCACGGCACTTATTTTATGTCTAAACACACAGAAGTATCACTGAACCCTGCCCCTCTCCTCCCTCTCACCAGAGTCTCTGGTTCCTTGGTCCATAGCTCTTATCCTCACCCTTCAAGGACCTCAAAGCTCTGTCCTCACCTTCCTTTCACAATTTTACAGCACTCACTGGAACAAGCTCAATTGCACAAAACTCAGGAACAAGAAAACAGCCTTACCTAATATCCTGGCTGTAATTTGGGGGCTCAGAAATGAGGCAACTGGTACGGTTCCATCCTTTTTGAAGGTCCTGGCAGTTGGGGGGAAATCCCAGTGCCTCTCCTCCTCCTCCACCTCGCTATTCTCCATGCCAGAACGCAAAGTGGCCAGTGATTGATGGGCCTGGGTTCCCGGTAACCGCACCCAGTGGCCCAATCCTCCTCCCCTACCCAAGCTCTCCCCTGTCCCTATTCAGAGATCAGATTGTCTCATGTTGGTCCCTGAGGTCCCATTAATTAAAAATACATCCAATTAAATGGCAGGTGAAAACGTGCTATTGGAGCTCTCCACCCCCCTGCCCCAGCTTGGTCCCCCCCACCCCCCTTTTAAGGCTCAGCTGTGCTTTGAGCTGAGAAAAAAAAAGAGAGGAAGAAAGAGGGAGAGAGAAGAGGAAGACATAGAGGTGGGGTGTGGGGGAAAGCTATTTGAACCTCTGCCAGGGTAGCATGTGCCAGCCTGGGAGGGTGGCACTGTGCCCTGGTGTCTAATTTCTGGAGGTGTGAGTAGGTTCAGTCAGCTGGGTACCCACTTCCATTTCCCTTAAAGGGGCAGAGGGAAGTCAAAGGTTGTGGCTAGCTTTACTGTCCTCCTCCTGGGTTCGGTGAGTGAAAGGTAGAAGTGTAAATGGTAGAGGGCCCTTAAGATGGGGTGTGATGTTCAGGGGTTGCAAGAGTCTGAGGCTTCTATTCTTGGTATACCCCTGCTCTTCCCCAAACTGCAAAGAAGATAACGAGAAGCATGGTGGGACCCAGGTGGCAGGGCATGGCAGTGCTCCCAAGCCAGGCTGTACCTACCCCTGCCCACAGGAAAGCTGAGAAAAAAATGGAGGGAGGAAGGAAGGAGCTATGATTTGGGTGGGAGCAGATGAGTCAAATAGGATAAAATATACAAGCATGGACATTTGCGTGGGCAGCACCTTATAAGTAAGAGGCTCTGGAGGGACCTATTTGTTCTTTCTCTGTGCAAAAAGAAGCACAAGTAGTACAAAGTCACCTCAATCTGGCAGGCTGTGAGTAGGGCATCTTTTCTCCTTCACATTTATGGTGTCCCCAGCATTTTGTAAGGCATCTGCCCTGTCGCCACCCCTCTAAAGCCTTCTGGCCCCAAGCAAGGCAAAGTTAATAGGCACTGAGAGCTGTTGGGTGAGGAGCTATGAAAAAAGGAGTAACTAAAAGTGGTACTCAGAATCCAGGCAGTACTGGGGGTATCTGCCAACTGAGGGCCCCCGCCTGGCCTCCTTGGCAGTCTCAGTATCTCCTCACTTCACTTTAACGCTAATTGGAGATTTTAATCTGCGCTGCTGCTCTGCTCAGGGTGCTGGGGGGAGCGCCAGCTGTGCAGCAATTCCAGCAGCACCGACTGTTTAATCAAGCTGTCCTCCTGGGGAGGGACCCTCGGGCACGGGGGTAGGAGGGAGGAGGAGGACCTCTGTCATCTCCCTTAGCCTGTTCAGCCAAGAAGGGCTTCCTGGAGACTGAGGACCAAATGTGGGAGACCTTATCCCCACAAGGGCTCCGTGGCCCTTGGATCCTTAGTGGAGCCAATATACATATGGGAGCACCATGAGGCTTAAGGGCCAAAGCAGCCCCCATCCCATCCTGCTTTCTGACACCTTTTTGGCACAGAGCCCCAGAGTGTCCTGGGTGTCCTTTAGACACTCAGGCTGTAAATATCTTTCAGATCATCTGAGCTCTGCAGGTTTGTGCTGGGAGAAGTGATGGGGGCATAGAAGGTTGAACTTTGCTACTCTCTCAGTCTTTTCAGTCCTCTCCCTTTCTCTTAAGAGAGCTAACTCTTTAAGAGCTACTTCTCTTAAAACAATTATCATAAGAGATTTTTTTTTCTCTCTGAAAACCCAGATACCTCCAAACTCTGGGCTGGAAAGTGATTGTCTAGAGGCTGAGGACAGGCGGAGCCTGTTACACCCCTAAAGAAAGAAACACCTGTATGAGGTGTTTGGTGCCTAAAACTAGGAGGCTTTCCAGGTTTGACTGGGAATCCAGTGACATGTCAGTCCACTAGGGAAGAGCATTCAGGGTCTCAGGCCATTTTTTAAGGAAGATCAAGTGCAAGAAAAATTAACTATTCTTCTGGCTCCTTGGGCCTCTGGACTCAGGCTCCCTGGGGATGTTTCTCACCCCTGTCTCAGGGAAAGAGTGTGGTGCCCTCCTCTCCCTTCACCCAAATGCTGTCCGCTAAGGGGCAGGAGTTTTAATTGGTCAGCAGCGCCCTCGTGTGGCAAAAACCAAGGCTGTAGCAGCCCAAGTGGCCCAGCAGCTTTGAGGGATCAGACATCCAGACAGAGAGGTAGGCACAGTACTCCAGGTACCCAATACTTCCAGAGACATTTCCTACTTTCTAACACTTAACTCTCCATCCATCCCATCCTAACTGCTTCACCTCCAATTCATGGTATGTGCCTACCAGGGGAGGGGGCACCTTACCCAGAGCTGGCATTTGCTTAGGCCTACTGCTTACACTAAAAAGACTTCCCTGGTGGCTCTGGTGGTAAAGCGTCTGCCTACAATGCGGGAGACCAGGTTCAATCCTTGGGTCAGGAAGATCTCCTGAAGAAAATGGCAACCCACTCCAGTATTCTTGCCTGGAAAATCCCATGGACGGAGGAGCCTGGTAGGTTACAGTCCATATGGTCACAAAGAGTCGGACACAACTGAGCGACTTCACTCACTCACTGCTTACACTGTCTAGATTGCAGGGGTGAAGAGTCATCGCTGAGAGAGGAGATCTAAGGTCAAAAGGGTAAGCTGATATCAACTACAATGACAGGAGAAGCTCTGGAACCCTTGCCAACTCCCTACAGGTGCCAGACAAGAGCTGCCTCCTGAGCTGGAGACTGAGTATTACCTACTGATGGGTTCTGCCCTACAGTGATCCATTTGCTACTCCCTGGATGTGTCTGGGAATGAATAGGGACAGACTCTTAAGAGTCTGAGATCCTTGTCCTCAGAAATGGACACAAGATAAAACCTTTCCCTCAAAAAGATTCAAGTTATTCCCCAAGGTTCCAGGCCACAGGGTAGAATGCACATCTGGGACTTCAGGCTTCCAGCCCTAACAGAAGGGCTGCCTGTCATTAGACCTTTCCTCTCTAGTGTCAAACACTATCCATTTACTGTTCCCTTCTTCCCTCACCCACTAAATGGGAGAGAAATGGTTTTGAATTACAGAAAAGGGGATGGTATCTAACATTAGGAACGTTGCTCTAAAAATTAGGGCTGGAAGTCACCAAGCCAGAGAGCTGAGTAAACATGGCCTTCCCTTGTTTGGAGATATTTAACAATAGAGAGAAATATTCCCAGAGAGAAATATGATCCTGTTCGGGGTTGGAGGGTAGGGAGAGGAGAGCACCTACCTGGCTGGAAGAAGGGTAGGGGCAGGCACTGTAGGTTGGTGACCTGCTCAGTTCTGGGCATGGAGGATGGGAATAAGCAGGCTGGCAGACCTCTTACTTCCGGTGTCCTGCACAGTGTGTGGACAGGGGGGATCTCCCATCAAACCTGGGAAGGATGTGGAGAAACTGATGAGAAGTAATAAAAAGGGACATCAATGTCCTATCCTGACTCAGAGGAAAGAGAAAATAGCTTCTTGGGGAAAAAGGAGACAGGGCTATGTGTGAAAGACGTAGTGGGTGAGTGAGGCAGGTGTTGCAGAGGAGCTGAGAGTAACCAATTTTAGCATCACATTATTGAGTAATAGCTGACCAAGAGATAAGAACAGGGATGAAATGACCACTAATGTCAGTAAAGGGGGTTACCCATTCTAGCCAGGAGGGAGGAACTGCTAATCAGAAGGTAGGACACTGGACTTCCCTGGTGGTCCAGTGGTTAAGAATCTGCCTGCCAATACAGGGCACATGAGTTCGAACCTTGGTCTGGGAGGATTCCACATACGGTGGGGCAACTAAGCGCATGCATCACAACTACTGAGCCTGCGCTCTACAGCCTGCACTCCCAACTAGAGAGGAGACCCCAACTAGAGAAATCTGATGCACAGCAACAAAGACCCAGCACAGCAATAAATAAATAAGTAAAAATTTATTTTAAAAAGAAGGTAGGACACCACAGTAGGGTAAAAAAAAAAAAAAAAAAGATCTCCTAAGGCAATAGAAATAAAAGCAAAAATAAACAAAGGGGACCTAATCAAACTTATAAGTTTTTGCACAACAAAGGAAACAAACAAAATGAAGACAACCTACAGACTGGGAGAAAATATTTGCAAATGATGTGACCAACAAAGGCTTAATTTCCAAAATATACAAACAGCTTATACAACTCAGTGACAAAAAAAACAACTCAGTCAAAAAATGGGCAAAAGACCTAAATATACATTTCTCCAAAGAAGACATATAAATGGTCTACTGACATGTCTCTATTGATACATGAAAAGATGTTCAACATCATTAATTTTATTAGAGAAATGCAAATCAAAACTACAATGAGAGACTTTCCTGGTGGTCCAGTAGTTAAGAATCTGCCTGCCAATGCAGGGGTCATGGGTTCGATCCTCGGTCTGGGAAGATTCCACATACCGTGGGGCAATTAATTAATGTGTCACAGCTACTTAAGTCTTCATGCTCTAGAACCTGTGCTCTGCAACAAGAGAAGCCACTGAAATGGGAAGTCTGTGCACTGCATCTAAGAGAAACTCCCGCTCGCCACAACTAGAGGAAGCCTGTGCACCACAGCGAAGATCCAGTGCAGCCAAAAAAAATTAATTAATTAAAAAAAAACCTACAATGAGGTACCACCTCACACTGGTCAGAATGACCATCATTAAAAAGTCTACAAATAACAAATTCTGGAGGGTGTAGAGAAAAGGGAACCCTCCCAACACTGTTGGTGGAAATGTAAATTGGTGCAGCCAAGATGGAAAATAGTTATGGAAGTTCCTTTAAAAGCTAAAACCAGAGTTACCATTTGATCCAGCAGTCCCATTCTTGGGCAGATATCCAGACAAAACTATGATTTGAAAAGATGCATACACCCCTATAAGTTCATAGTAGCACTATTTACAATAGCCAACACATGGAAACAACCTAAATGTTCATCAACAAATGAGTGGATAAAGATGATGTGGGACATGTATGCAATGGAATACTACTCACCCATAAAAAAGAATAAAATAATGCCACTTGCAGCAACATGGATGGACCTAGAGATTATCACACTAGGCAAAGTAAGTCAGAAAGAGAAAGTCAAACACTGTATGAGATCACTTATATGTGGAATCTAAAGATACAGAGTACATACTTGTCATTACCCAAGGGGAAGGGGAAGGGAGAGAGATGGATTGAGCATTTGGGACTAGCAGACGCAAGCTGTTAAATACAGAAGGATTAAACAAGATCCTATTGCATAGTACAGGGAACTATATTTAATATCCTATAATGAACCATAAGGGATAAGAATTTTTTCATAAGGGATAAGAATTTTTTTAAAAAAGCTAAGGCAACCCCCCTGGAGATCTTTGGGACTAAGAACTTCCCTGAGACTGTATGTGTGTGTGTGTGTGTGTGTGTGTGTGTGTGTGTGTGTGTTAATCCCTTATAAAAGCAGCCCAGTGGCCTCTGATTAGCTTAAGATCCCTACCTGGCTTGAAACTCTGTGAAAGAGTGAATTTGCCAGGGCTCCGGATGTCAGGTAACTAATGGACATTACCAAATTCCTCAGGGGCCATTCCTCCTCCTGCTGCTGTCACCTGTAAAAGAAAATGACATGTAACATTAGACGTGAGATAAGGGACCAGACACCAAAAAGGGTATATGCTCTTTCACTCAAGGAGCATGGCCCTAGTAGGTAAAGTGATGATGATGATCACCACTCTTCTACTTCACAGAGCTGAGAAGGATTCAGATGAACCTTAAGTACATGTCCAAAGACAGTTTTAAGTTTTCTAAGATTCCTAACTCCAGGCAACCAGCTCCCAGTCTAGTAAACTAAAAACTATGCTTCCTATACTTAAGAGAGAAATTGGGAATTCAACATAAAAGGAAGCTCTGAAACCCAGAATTATAAAGGGCAATGAAGGTTCGGCGTGAATACAAAGTTAAAGCAAGAAATTGACTCAAAAGAGGATAACTGGTTTTAGGTTAGATAATCAGATTGTTTTGAAGGCTCTCTTGTCCAAAACATCTTGAAGAAAGTCTCAGAGGACTTTCTATGAGACAGAAAGGAGGTTTGTGGGACAGCAGATTTGACACAGTTTGGGTAGGTAGGTTTGTATATTCCCTGTGTACGGATGGATCTGCCTGGGGACCAACTTCACATTTCTCCTGTGCTATCAACCATGGTGTGGTGGAGAAAATGTAAAGATATGTACTGGGATCTATTTGTCATCAGCAATTGAAACTCATTTTGCAAACCCCCTGCCTCTCTGACCTATACCTATAACCTAGACCTAGATCTATCTAACTGCCTTTCTCCCAAGATTTTGCTTCCAGTTTAGGAACTAGTGAGCATTCCCCTCCTGGCTCAGTGGCTCCCAGACTCATATGCCCAGAAAATAAGCATTGGAAAGAACATCTGGGAGAGGTCCAAAGAGGGGAAGGAGGTCTCAGCACCAGAGTGAGATGACTTTAGAAACTGCCATGCCTGTCAGCCCACTGAGCACACTATTCAGGACTCAGGTCACTGTGGAGCACACCACCTTCCTTCCGCTCCACCAAAGAAGAAAACCAACAATCTGAAACTAAAAAATTAGGGAGAGGAGTAGAGCTCCCCCCGCCCGCAATTTGCCTGTAATCTCAGAGAGTATTGTATTTTACTCAGAGTTCTATAATCCCTTCTCTCATTCAGCAGCTCCCCTTAGTTTCCCAGCAATTAAGATGTTTTCTTTCTCTTTTCCTTCTGATTTTTTCAATATAGCTGTATTATAATGCAAAGGAGCCTGAGTTGAAATTTAGGGTAAATTCCTCACAAAATCTCCGAGGATCTTTTCCTACTATCCAACCCCTGGATGATGGCTGGCAACAAGCTCCCTGAATTTGGGGTAACTCTGAGGCATCAGGATCTTTGGTTATGACTTGCCACTTGCTTCCCAATGAGCCAGAGTTCTTGACTGTAAATAAAAATTAGTCATACAATTTGCATGTCATTGGGTCTTTGAGATCTATAAAGCTTCTCAGTTTTTCTACTAAGTTTTTAACCTAACTTTCCCCCTCAATCTGTCCTTCCCCTCCTGACCTGCCTCCAAAATATCACAGCCTTACTTTATTGAGGAAGCACAGGACTGTCAGGAACTGATGATCTTAAAATTGGAGGCTCTATACTCAATACATTAAGATCCTACTCTTGGCTTCTAGTCTTGGCTGGCTGCCACTAACTAACTGTGAGACTGTGGACAAGGCATTTCCCTTCCCTAAGCCTCAATTTCTTTTTCCATAAATTGGGAAGTTGAATTAGATGGTCTCTAGTTCCCTTTCTAGCTCTGGTCATCTATGATTCTATCAGGAAGAAGACATACTGTCCTTCCATCAGGAAGTGAAATATTCCTGCCCTTTGTACTTTTTTTTTTTCTCCCCCTTTGTACTTTTCTGTGAGGGCTATAGCATAGAGAAGCTCCTCTGTAGATGCCTGTCTTCTCAAGCTGGCTTAAATTAAGGGACGAACAAGTGAGTTCCAGTAGGAGGCCAAATTCCTTTCATTATGAAGAAATGATGTTAAAAAGGTAATCTAATTCTAACCCCGAATCTTGACAAAGCAGATGAGACAAGGCGGGTATGGGGCACAATAAAGCATGACACCCCCACCCCCGCCAACACACAACTTAAGACTGTTTAAGAGTCTGAGCACACATTTGGCCTTGCCCTAGGGAACTCTGTATAACCAGTGACTGCTTAAGCCAATACAACTGTGTGTGGATGGAAGAAAGCAAGGACATGTGTAAATACTTCCAGATCATAGGTGTAGATGTCCAATCAATACACATACACTCATCCTGTTCTCTCTTACTTTAGGCCTATATGTGCTGTTTGAGAAGCTATTGGGGGAGGGGACACCGCATCCTGGTCTTCCCCCTCCCCAAAGTCAGAAAGGAAGAGACAGTCAGGCAGGAGCTACTTGGCTTCCTATAAATTGTTTTGTCCTTCCTCACAGCTGCAATCAGAAGCTAAGGGCTCCCGCAGGCCTTGTTCTGATCTGCTGCAGGCGATGGAGGGTTTTTGAAACCGAGAGGACTTGGCTGCAGCCCCGTTTCAGCTGCCACTGGGGCTGGCTAATGGGCTCATTCGGGAAGACCCCCGCCTGCTGCACTGAAGAGTCCCCCGCCGACCCCCTCCCCAGTCCCAACCCAATTAATAAATGGGGGCTCCCACTTTATGGCTCTGGGAGAAGGAACCAGAGATACAAATGACCCCCAGGGAGGGAGAAAAAAAGGCCTTCCAAGAATCAAGCCAGAGAATTGTGCATCCACAGGCACATGCTGCCACAGGCTAGTCATATCCCATTATCAAAGCCTTAACGGGGAAGAAACTGGCAAAAAACTGTATTTTCTTTCCCAGATCCAGAGTGGGATAGCATTCTTGAAGTTGGAGGGTACACCCCAGGAATCAACTCTCTTTCACCTGGTTCTCCAATCTGAAAAAGGCAGAGTGCAGGTGATCATCTGGCCACATAGCACATAGCACTCAACTATTTTCCAGGGGCTATCCCTCCTACTAAACTCTGCAATACTGAACATAGACACAGCCCATCAATTATTTGGTTAATAAAGTAAACATTTTTTACTTCTTAAAAACAAAGCAGCTACCTCTTTCCAAAATCTCATCACCATGAACAGGATAAGTACGTCCTGAGGTTATCATCCTTAGCCTATAGCCTATGTGAGCCTATCTCCCCTCACAACCAAACTATCATCAAGCCTTTCTAATTTTACTGACCCCCTCCCTTTCTTCTTCTTCCCCTTGTCTTATTCTAGTTGCAGCTCTTAGGGCCTTACATCTGGACAAGAACAATAATATCCTAGCAAGTTTTTTTGCTTCCATGACCTGCAAAAATCCTGAACATCATGTTCATTTCATCATACTCCATTCTGTTACTGCTTACCAAATCAAATTCAAATTCCTCATTCAAGCCACCAAGATTGTTCCTTCATTTCCTAATATTTCTTCCTTTATTATCCTGACTACTCCATTCATAACCCTTTGCACAAAACACAAAGAAACTTTCTATAAGTTTTCTCTCTCCAGTCACCTTCCTCCCTCCTGTTTCATGTCCTCTATCTTCACTACCTTCAAAGAATCTTTTCTGGTTAAGTCCAGGTTTTTCCAATTATTTCGTTGCTTGGCTTTCCTCTGTACTAAGTTGTTTTATTTTATAAACTGCATCAGTGTGTACACTTATAAACACCGATCTCTCCACTTCCCACTCAAGTTTAAGAGTCATCTCTCACTCGATCCAGAAGCTTCCAAAGATGGGACCCTCCCATAATCTTCCCCAGAAGTTGCCCTGTATTCAGGATGTGTGATCCAGCTAAAGATATTACTGCTCCCCACAGAAGCAACCCTCATGGTATAACTCTTGGAATATCATATCAAACAACTACATCAAATACAAACTTATTTTTGTACAATGTCAACTTTCAGGCTGCCACATGCCGTTACCAACACTGAACTTGGTACTGAGTCTTTCCAAAATTACAAACTGTTTCATGATTTCAAAGTGTGTTGCAAAACAAAACAAAAATATTGAGAAAAAAAGGTACAGTAACCATAGAACTTTATCTTCTTAATGCATAGTATATATACTGTTTTCTTTGAAGCCCCCTTAGGATGAGAAGTCCCATTTTGTTCCCTAAGATTAATCCTATATTCTCAGGTCATGACCTGATTTTCTAGAATGCAAATCAATCCCAGAGGCAACAGTAATGTTGTTTCCTACCAGCCTTGCCTGTAGCTGGTCTCTGACCATCACATTTTTAGAAGGTCCCTTGGAATAGAGAAATTATTCCTGAGTCGCTCTCAACTACTTAGGAAGTACTTCCTGAGAGTAACCTCCCTTCCAAATACTGACTCCACTTCCTCTGGTTTAGCCCTGTGTGATTTTGTTGTTTAGTTGCTAAGTCGTATCTGACTCTTTGCAACTCCATGGACTACAGCACACCAGGCTCCCCTGTCCTGTGTGATTGGACAGGAAAAAGTGATCTGCCACCTCCTTTTATCTCCTACATATTGCTCAGAACAATAAGGACTTGCCTTTTATTCTTTCCATTCCTTAGTCTCAAGGTGCTTTAGTCTAGATAATAAAAGCAAAGGTACTGTGACACCTAATATATAGTAGGTTCCAGACAATGTTAGTCATTTTCTCCCTTCTTACTCCCAACACTTTCTCAACCTTTCTGGGTCTGTTTTTTCACTGCCTAACGATGGCACTAAACTAGACAAATTAATGCCCTTTGTAGCTCTAGCATTCTCTGACTCAAATTCATATATTCTGGTTTGTTTGCTCTTCTGTGCGTCATCCTCACTTGTATCTAAAATGAAGGGGAGAGGAATAACATTATAGTTTCCAGTTTGACCTAAAACATATAAAACCACCTGCAGGGGAATGTTAGAACTCCAAAAATGCAAATAATTTTTAGCTTGATATATCCGTATCATTTCCTCCTTAATCCTGGAATACTCTCTTGAACTACGTAGATAACAGTGCTAAGCAAAATGTCCTAGATATAAATTATTTGCTTAATATAATCTAGCTTCCCGAGTGAAACTATCTGCATAGCATCCCCTAGTTTAAGGGTTTCAGGCCGATCCTCCAATCATAACAGTAATCAAGGGGACGCTTTACTCTTTACTGGGGCCTCCTTGAAATAAACTGTGAATCTTGAATGCAATTATCCCCTCTCACTACCCCAACCACAATTTTGCCTACCACTCTCATATCTTATCTCTTCTTCAAAAGCAATTATACACTGTTTCTTTCTGCAGCTCCACTACCAGACTTCTCCAGTTCTCCCTTCTTTCCTTTATTTCCATTTCCTTCTTATATTGCTTCATTTTATATGAGAACTTTGGTCCCCTAACAGAAACTGCAAATACTAATTCAAGGCCAAACCTGAATTTATAAAAGGGATCAGACTCCTAAGTTTCCTCTAGCTCTCTGAACTCAGCCTCTTTTCTCCAGTACCAAAAGCATTCAAAATTGCATTGACCTTGATGGAGGGGGTTATCCATCCACAAGCTGATCCTCACCAAGGGTGTCCCTCATCAAACACAAGAAGAGGGATCCTCTCCCTGAGACAATCCATCAGAAAGGCTCCTAGAGGACAAGACACTTGGCTTGCTCTCCACTTTGCTCTGCTACGTTGTAGCCTTTCACAGGTCTCTCCATGCTGCCTCCCTCCCGGTGAGTTTGGACGTGGATAAAATGTCCTTCACTCTTTTGGAACTATCAACATGATCTTCAAGTTACAGCCATAACAGAGCACAACATCCCCAAATCCAACTGTTTTCAGGTCTGAAAGAACTTATGTCTAAATAAGTTTATTTCATGGTTATACCTTCTCATTCCAGAGAACTATGATGTGGCTGAGGGCTGCATACAGCTTCATTAACAACTACCCACTTAAAGAGTATTAAAGACTAACTGCGTATCAACCTCTTTCCTTCAGCCTTGGACTACTAATTCTTGAGACAGAGATATGAGAGCAATCCAGCGGTCAAGTGTTTTGGCAATCTAGTAATTAATCATCAGGGCATCAAAGCAACCCTCATGTGCTTTCTCTCTTCTCTTCTCACCAAGCTTTACTTCCTAGAGACACCATCTGCAACTGAGCTATTAGCAAAAGCAAGTTTCAGTATATAAGGGAAGAGAATGAAGTGAAGGTTGACCAGCTAAAGAATCTCTTGTACTCCACAACATAAAGTACTGCAATAATTAAAAGCTCCTTTCATAGCTCTTAGCAATAAGAAAGTTATTTTGCTTTTTCTTCCACCTCTCACCCCATTAAGTTTGTCTCCTGAATTGCTTCTCACTACCCTTCAAAACTACAAAGCAGCAGTAATTCTAAATTCCTTGCAGGATTAAGCAATCAATATCTCTGGCAGGACTAAAGCATGAGAATTGGGAAGTGAGTGGAGAAAAGAAAGACAGGAAATGAAGTGGATGGACAGGAGATGGAGAGCTAGCTGCACATGGTGAGAGGTGTGGTAGAGTACCACCAGTGAATCCGTTAGGTGTCAGACTCCGTTAGGTGTCAGACTTCCCCCAACTGGCTTCGAGTAAACTCTCACTTGAGTATTCCTAAGGCTATATAGGAACACTAGAAATGCCACACCTGGACAGAAAAATTAACCAAAGTGTCCAGGAATGCTCACCTTGCCTCTCAAGATAACCAGAAGACTTAGCAGCTCATTTCTCCTTTGGAATGTTTGAATATTTACTCGCTTGAGGAACTCCCCACATCCATTTCCCCTAGCCCTTCAGGATGACTAAATTGTGAACAGAGAAGTAATGCAAAACCTTTAAAAGAAAAAGAAAAGAAAAAGTCAAGCTACGGGGCAATCTTTAATAACAACGAAAATCCCAGTTCAGCACAAAGAACTGTTAACTTACTTGAGGCATTAACCTTACCACCAGTTAACGATGCCTATCTTGGAAAAGATAGTGCCTAAGAAATTTAGGTACTGAACATTATGGTTCCTACTTAGAAATAGCCTTGAGTGTAATGGAGAAAAAAGTCCAGCTTAGATAGGTCCTCAGCTTTCAGGCCCAGAATCAAAGACGGTCATTCCTATGAAGTGGAAATAATATTCTCTATTACGTTGAAGTTCACACTCCTAGTCATGAACTTGCAATATAAAAAGATTGAAAACGAATTCCTTTTCTCTGGAGACTAACAAGAAACACAAGACTCCAGAACTGGAACAATCTTGAGCTCTCCATTCTCCTTGGGTAAAGATACGACAGCCCACAGGCAAGGGAACATCATACTTAAACTGTGGGGATCCAAAAATACACTGGCAATCCTCATCATCACGTTTTTGAATTCGATTTCTTTCTAATTTCTTTGTTCTGCTGTACTCTTTAATCTTGTATGATTGCTTATTCCACACACAACTTCCTGATACCTATGTCCCCTCTTCTTGTCTCCTGATACTTTTTTTCCCCTGTCCTCTGTCTACTTATGTCTTAACTAGCAGGACTGCAACAGACATTACAAAGTTTAGTCTTCTGTGTCTTAGACCATGAAGAAGGGAAAGCAATTTTCTCCTCAGTTGGAGACAGGAAAAGTTTTGGAAATAACAGGAATTTTACCCCTATCAACAATCTTGACTTACTTCCTGGATTGGCAATGTATCAGGAAATCTCAACAGAGCTGGGAATACTAATCCATCCCCATGCTGACCCTACTCATGGCAACACAGGAACTGGTGTGGGGATGAGGGTCTCTGATTGAAGAGACTATTTTTTGGTCTAAACAACCTCATACCAACTTCTCTTGATGACGGTTGAGCTCAAACCCACTTACCTCTCCTTTCAGAAGGAGTCAGGGTACATGAAGCTCAACTCTTTTGATGGCCTGGCACCATCATTACTTTTGTACAATGGTTTTCTACTTTAGAAAATCACATCTTATGGTTTCCCCCAATTCTTATTTTCTAATTCCCAGTATAATGTTTTGAAGCACCTCTTCAAACCCTAAGAACTTCTTTTTCTGGTAGTCTATGAGTCTACAGAGATTCTGAGACAAAGCACCCTTAGGATAAAGTGGAGGAAAAATGCCCTTTATACATATAATTAGATCTGCTCAAAGGGTACAAATTAAGAAGTAAATGCAATGGAGCAAAAGTGGTATAGTAACAGGAAATATTTAATTTTCCAATCTCCACTTTCCATTTTTATAAACTGAAAGAAAAAATTTAATATATTACAAAATATCTGTACATAAACAAAGTAAACCCAATGGGAGGCAAAACAAAGAGAGAGAAAGGAATACAGTGTCAGTAACCTAATCAGGGAGAATGAGGTCACAACTGACACTTTTCTGATGCAGCATTCTCTCTCAAAACCTGCTGGTAACCATTTTAGTACTGTAACTATATATGCATATTACACACACACACACACACACACACACACACAAAGTGGTTTGGGTGATGTCTATGGCATAAGCTAAAAGAAGTCCTACTTACAAGTTTGTGCTAACTGCCCTGCTTTTAAATGTATAGATTTGATGTTGTTTTCAAATTCTTATCATTCCAATGGACAGTTGAAGAAGAAACTAAAGAAACTGGGTCAAACAAATTTGTCTTCAAAACCACAAAAATGATCATGTTCAAACCAGTTTTGCCTCTCTCACTTGTGAACAGAATCAGATTTCTCATCTGTTCAAAATAATGTGTTTAATGGACTTAATATCTCCCATGGTTCAATAATTAAAACCAAAACCACTTTTGAATATAATTGGGTTTGTAATTTTCTAATACCTAAGTAGAAATTCTGCCAAACCTTTACTTCCATCACATTTATAGATAACATAGCTGAAAAATTAACAAATACCTTTTCTTCCTCCACACAGATATTCCAGGATATTTGAGTTTCTTTGTCCCTTTGCCTTTAGAAATAGTCAAAATTGCCAAACCTTTTCTTTTTAAAGGTTAAACTCCCAAAATGGGGATGGGGGTTGAAATGGGATCATACATACACAAACACACACCACACATACCACACACACTCACCCCCTTCCCTAATAGAAGGGATAGGGGAATGGAGACTTAAGTATATTATTTAGGATATTTGGCATAATTAAAAATGAGTGGGGAGGGAAAAATATTATTGATGACTGCTGATACCCAAAATACAATTAAAATATAGAGAGATTTTATTCATATTTGATGGGAAACCAATTTTTCTCATTGGATACTTTTGAAAGGATCCAGGCTTAAGTTCTCTAGTCAAAAACGGGAGAGTTGGGTCCAATGTCTTTAATTCAAATATTCTAAAGTACAAAGGCCCAGGTCTGAGGACTAAGAAGTCAGCAGACAAAAGGTTCAGATGAACTTTAATGCAATTTACCAACAGTGTGTCAGTGAGTCTAGCAAATCTAACTGGACTCATCGGTATAAAAAGCCATCAATGCCAAAATGGCTAGAAGTTTCTCTTTTTAATCAATGATTGGCCCTGAGAGCAAGGCCAGACCAAAACCCAGAGGATAATAAAGAAATACACACACCAGATATCTGCCTATTTCAGTTAACAGGGGAAAATAGTCTTCATGTAAGTATCAGAAGAGGATTCTTCTTTAACTTCTTTTTTTTTTATTAACGCATCTCTCTCTCACAAGTAGTGTTTATTTTTTAATATATGAACTTGGCATTGAAACATAAAACTTTACTTGAGTTCTGTAAACTATTCTCCAAGATGCTGAAATATATTTGCCTTTTCTTTGTAAAGGGGGGCTAACCTACATTTCACAAGCATCTAGGTCTGTGCAGATAATTTCTATAAATGTGTATGTTTTAAAAACACATTATATGCTGGTACTCACACAGAACTGGAAGCCAGAATGAGAAACCTCCCAGGTTATCCCACCCTGAAAGTCTTCCCCTCTTTCGTTTTCTGATAATAATAAAGCAAAATTCTTGAAACGAAGTCATAATTTAACCCCTTTCACCAAAACCAAAATCAAATCTCTCTGGAGAAAAATCTTTAAAAGAATTGGCAGGATATTCATGCTGATATGTGTGTATGTCAATACTGTTCTTTCTTATGGGATACTCTTTTAAAATTATTTGTTTTAAAAAGGTCTCAGGTAGTGATATATCTTCAGAAAAATATTCACCCTAAACTAAGTTACATTTCCATGAATTTTCAGGATGTATTTTTTTTCCTCTTTGACAATATTACAATGCTCTGTTTCAAAGGTTTTTTTTGACATAAAAAAATATGTGTAAACAGTATGCTAACTGATGTTACTAACCCTCCAGGTATGGAGGTATCATCTCTAACCCTACCTCAGCAGCAATGTCCTAGGCTGTTTGCATCTACAAATCAACTTCACCATCAGAACATGGTTTAAAAAAAAAAAAATTTAGAATTGAACATTTACAGAGAACAATATAGGAGTTTGAATTTCCTTTCCTTTATTTCAAAAAAAGTAAAGAATTATCCCAGGTTCTTGGGCATCTCAACAATTAATTTTTTTTTCCAAACAAATGTCTCAAAAAGAGAGAGACAGAGAGAAAGAGAAGTCTATAAAGATGGAATAAAAAAGAAAAAGAGATGGGATAAAGTCTACCTACTTGCCCAAGAATGCCACTTTCTACAACCTGCTTCACGTGCAGGGAGAGGGGGGGCATATCTTTTCTCAAAGTGGAGCAAACTTTAAGAATGAGCAATTTATTTGGAAAAAAGGTATGTTCAAGATGCTCAATGGGTAAAAAAGGAGTTCACTTGAAAGCAAAAATGTGAGATGGTGGAGAGGAAGGAAATATTTATTTAAACCAGCCAGTCGCTCTGTTTCCCTTAAAGCAAAAGCCTAAGAGCAGCTCAAATTCTGTGAACACTATTCTCTTTAAAAAACAAAAAACCAAAAACCAAAAAACAAAAACCAAAAAAACTAAATTCAAAAGAAACCATTAAAAAAAAAACAAACTTTAAGAACCTCTCCTGAGCCATCTCAAAATTGAAACTGTTTCTTTCTTCTGCTCAAGAAGTGCAGGAAATGAACTAATTAAACATTTACTTTTCAATTTAATGACCCTCTCCATATTCTCTACTTGTATTCACTAGGTAGAGCTGAAGTAAGTATTCTGACTACATCCCATCCAGGGGGAACTGGTGCCACATCACTATTTTATAAGTCGCTTGCTAGGAGCAAGTGAGCAAGGAATACAACAGATAGCTTTGCAGTAGCCAAATGCAGATGATTACCTCGCTCTGGCAAATGATTTCATTAAAGGTTCAGAGGACTGGATGGAAGAATGGATAGGGAAGGAATCTTTCAGGACTCTGAAGTCTCTAGGTTAGTAAGGAACTCCTCTCCCTCTTCCCCCTCTTGGAGGGACTCTTGTAGGCCCCCGATACACTTTGCCATAAGCAGAAGACTGAGCTGAGGCCCCCCAGTTAAGGCTTGCTCCTGAGCTGCTGGTCCCAGTGGTTCCTGGCCCCAGCTCCCCATAGTTTTGCAATTTGGTCTCTGCATGTACCACAGAGTTGCTGCTTCCCTCAGCCTTCAGGAATGGTTGCCCGACCACTGAGTGTAATGCTAAGGGGACCCTGGCAAAACGGAGGTCCTGGTCCCCTGGGAACTGCACTGACCCTGTGCCCTGGTAACTGCTGGACTCCCCAAGGTGGCTCACAGAGCCCGAGAAGGTCCTGTTCTTCACCAGGGTCTGGGCCAAAGATTCTGTCAAAGCTGGACCAGAGTTGCGTTCATCAGTGTCAGTGGCACTGAACCCTGTTTCAGGCCCGTCAGTGTTTCCGTAAGTCCTGTTGGGATGGGGTCGGGTGGAGTAATCCATTGATCTCAAGGCCTGGTGCTCATGTGGCAGGTGGCCAGGAGGCTCTGCTTCAGGCTGGGATAAAAGTTGCAGCAAGGCGGCTGTCACGGCTGGGTTCAACTCCTGGGGGGCGCTGGAAAGATCGCCTTCAACCAGAGGGGGTGGAGGTGGCGGCGGTGGAGGTCCGGGGGGCTCAGGGGGCCTCTTCTCTGGTGGAAGAATGTGAGGAGGACATGCTGTGGAAGGGTTACTTTTTTTAAACACCATCTTAAAAATCACATGTGATTATAAACACAAACACACACACACACACTGCCCAACATAAACAAATATCAATACAAGTAACCAAATATATATAAAGCAAAAAACCTTGGGATCAGGAAATCGCAATTTATAAATAAAATCAAGTGATTAAAAGTAAAACAGTTGCATTCTGGATCTAACAGCTGGTGTTAAAATCATGTATTTCAAATGATTGTCCTGATTTTTGTCTGAGATCTCCATTTCCTTCCTTAAGGAACTGTTCTAATATGTAGGCTGTTGGTAGCCTCCCCGCCCCTTTTTGCTGTTGGATCAAAACATTAATGAAAATAAAGTAGAAAGAAGGAAGATGAGAGGGAACAATACATATGCTGTGGTCACACATCTAGGACATAATCTTGCTGTACAACAGGAAACTTTGTATGGACTTAGCTAACACATTTTACAGAATGTTTGATGATATCAGGTTAACACGTAAAATAAAGCTAGAAGAATATACAGGTGAGATGAAATTAGTAAAAACCTTTCATTACCATCATGTATACATATACACTTGCTTCTCCCAGTTTGAGTTCCTTCTCCCCATAATCACAGTCTGAAGAAAACCACCGTACTGTCATTCAGCTTCCTATGTTACAGTAATTATAAAAAGTCACTACAGCAATGTCATGCAGAATGGGCTGTTGATAAACACTTGTTTATCTTGGAGACAGTGACAAGAGTATTTAGAAATGTATTGAACTAATACTATACTCTGTCTTTCCAAAGGTCTTACTAGAACCACTCCCTAGACATGTTGTTGCCCACAACTGGATTAATTTGCCTAACCATGGCAATCATTGTCTGATAATGAACTCCTGCCAAGGCAAGAGACTAGAAATGTAAAATGGTGTGAGTTTGAGGACACACAAAACCAAGTAGTCAGAACCATGCCTTTAGAGAGTTGGGAGTCACCTTGCTGAAGAAAAGACTTAGTTTTGGGATATCTTTCAAATGACTGATTTTTCTGTTTCCTAATGAAGCATATTTTTAAATGTCCATATAATCAATTCTTTATTATGAGACAGTGATATAAAGTCATTACTCAGGCAACCCAAAAGTAGTTTTTATAATTATAACAATTAGGTATTTTGGTAGCATATATACCACAATTATATTTTGCAAAAACAATCAGTAAAGTAAGCATACCCTTAGTGGGCAGATGAAAGTATTCTGAAAATACTACAAAATTGTTGAGCAGTGGGAGGATAAGGTCAGGTGCTAAACATAAATACAAGTAGGGTGACCAAGAGTCCCAATTGCCTGAGACTGAAGGAGGTTCCCAGGTTTAAAACTTTCGGTTTTAAAACCAGGACAGTACAGGGACAAGTTGATCATCCTATATACAGTACCCACTCAATTTTTTGTTAACAGACTGGCTGGCTGACTGGGTGGTAGAGAAAGCTAAATTAAAGGATGAAAAATTAGCTATAGAACACTCACAACTTGAAAAGTAGACATCCAAAAAAGGGAGAGCTAACTGACTACAAATATCTATAGATTTCAGACTTTTTCATTATCAATACTACACATCTCACTACATAAGAACATCACAGTACCAGTTATTTTTAAAAGTATTTTTGGTCTATACATGAAATGGAACACCAGTTTTTTGTTTTTGTTTTTTAATACTAAGGGCAGACAACTTTAAAAATGCCTAACTGCAAAAATGGACAAAGCTAAACTTATTTTCTTCCATCTATACTACATTTCATATTTAAACTTTGCCTTTTATACAAATAGTTTAGTTGTATTTCAATAGAACTAATTCTTGAGCTCACATTCTTTCACATTTATGAGAGAACGAAAACTATTTCAAAATAGCAAAGGCAGACTGGTTGTAAAGAACTATTAAAGGCTAATAAAACATCTTAATTAAAAATAAAGATCACATTAAAAAAAAACATACTGTTATAAGATTCAAAGTGTTAACAATATTGCCAACCCTTAACAGTCTGTACCAATGGTGAGAGAGATCAATGAAATATACAAATAACTGAAAATTTCATTTTACTAATTAGATTCAACCATAACCATTTCTCAACAAGTACAGAATAGCTAAATAGTAGCCAAAGTGATAGATTTTTACCTTCTCTGGCTAATTCAGTCTGCCCTCTGGTGGAAGTGCTGATGAACAGCAAAACAGCCACATAAGAGGTAGCAGGAGCAAGATGGAGGCATAGGAGAGTCACCAACTGGATAATCCAGAAGTGACTGGAATACTTAGGGATGGCATTTTTACTCTCCTCTGAAAAGTAAATCCAGTAATTTCTGGCCATGAGCCAGGCCTAAATTTTAGTTCATTTTCACCATTTGGCTGATAGTTTGCTGACTTAATTATTGGATGAATTTCTTTCAATCACTATGTTATTTAACTTGAATAACTTCTTTCAGTTATTGATTATAGTTGATTTTTTTTTTTTTTTTGGGTTGGTGAGGGGGTGGGTAGAGGGAGGACAGTATGACAGATGAGAGAGAGACCTGCTTTAATTCTAGATTTGCTTTCTCTGTTATTCCACACCCCAGAGTCTCTTAAAAACTATTGGAACTGTTATGACAGAATAACAAAGTGAATTAAGAAACACATTCATTAAGAAAGTACAGGAATTCTAGTCCTGCCTCTGCCAATAATATGGTTCCAGCAGTGGGACCATAGGCAGGCTTATATAAATTCCCTAGATTGCAGTTTCCTTATCCACACAGTAAAGAGGGTAATTTATTTATCTTTTTTTTTTAAACTTTACATACAATAACTTATTTGATCCTGTACCAGTGGAAATAAGGCATATATTCTGGACCAACCGATTTGAAATGTGAATGCAACACCCTAAAAATTGAAGGTTAGTGTACTCCAACAGCCCTTGTACATCTTCTCATTTCCCCAGTTCATGGGGTCTTCATGGACAGCAAAAATTTCCAAGGAGTTGAAAACACAGATAAGTAAAGATTTTAGAAATAAAGACTGTGAATCAGAACTGACTAGAAAATTTAAACTTCTTTTCCCTCGAATAAATTGAATCATGCTGTGCTTATGTAAGATCAAGGTATACATATTTTCTTTTTTCACATTTTTAAAAAATAATAATGTTCAGTTCCTAATCTGGGGTCCATTCACTTATCCTTCAGGAACACAGATTTAAAGAAATCATTTTTATATGCTATTTTTGGAAAGGAAATATATGGTGTTAATTATCTGCTTAGAAATCTTCTCAAATCATTCTTTGGGAGATTAACAATGATATTTTATTAGGGCTTTCTTGACTGTATGTTTCCAGGAACTCAGTACCTAGCATCCACTGTTCTAGAGTACGAGTGGCTATTTGTACAATCTGATAATGGTTTGCTTGGAAGACAGATTTTCAAGTGCTAGTACTAGTTGACCACCACACACAGTGGTTCAAGATGCATCAGTAGCTACAGCTGTGGTTTTCTTGTGTGAGAACACAGGGACTCTACTTACCTACTTCCTAGGAAAGGGAAAAATGGAAAAACAATCAGTATACGAAAGGTGCTTTAAGAAGCTTTGAGACTTAAATAAAAGAAGTTGGGCAAGAAATACATCACTTGGTGCTATGTTCTTCTGTAGACTAAGTTACAGAAAAACTGAAACTGAGGCCACTGATGTGAAAAAGAAAACATTAGAGATTTTTAAGAGGATCAACAGCACCTGAGCTCAATGAGATTCATGACCGGTCTGTTTACCTGCTGCCTCCTCCTGTGGCATTGTGGGAGTTCTTCGGGGCCCCTGTGGCCCACTGTTCTTGTCACTGTTGTTTTCCTCCAGGTTGCCTGCTGGCTCCTGGGTTTTCATCAGTTGACTCAAGAGAACTGCCAACATATTCTGCATGTCAGCTGGTGTGCTTGAAGCTTCAGGGGTTGTCTGTTCTGCTGAAGGTTGGACTGCTGGGGCAGGGGCTATCTCCTTCAAAGATTCCTCTGGGGCTGTTGGCTCTGAGTCCTGCTGTTGGGAAGTGGCAGCCGTTAGGGCACTGATGGATTGGTTCAGGGCCTCCAGCTGCTGTTGCATCTCTGGGTTGGAGTGGATATTAAGCAGCTGTGCCATTTGAGGAATGCTCAGGTCCGTTTGGCTCTGCAGCAGGTTCAGTAACACTGCCAATTCACTTTGATTCAACTGCTGTGTGATATCACCGATGCCTGTGGAGAGACAGTGGAACCAATATAAGAGGATGAGGTGAGGCAAGGCAAGGACCTTTGCCTTCTTCAACTGACAATAGCAACTTGCAATATCCAATGAATGAAGTTTCATTTTGAATGTCTCATTTTCCATGCCTCTAATTGTGACACATTTGTTATTCTTTATATTTTCATTTAAAAATACAGGGACTAATTAAAATATCTCTGTATTGTGAGTAAAAGTAACTTTATCTATATTCTTCAAGGTCAGTGATTTTCAGCCCTTACTGTATACATCAGGAGAGATTTTAAAATTCAGAACCCTTAGCTCCTATCCCTAGAAATCTGGCAATTGTTCGGAGGTGTTTATGTTTAAAGCTTTTTAGATGATTATAATGTGCAGCCAGTATTGAAAGCCACTGTTTTAAATAGACAATGAAGGAAAAGTGAGCCAAGGAAGGAAGTTGTAATTCAGAAAAAAATGTTGTACCACAGGAGAGCTACTTTGTTGTTTACAAAGATTCATTATTACACAGTTTTGGATATATTTAGATCAAATAACAGTCTACAGAACTAACTACATTTAGCAACTGTGATTTAACATGATTAAATTCTAAGGTCTTATCAAATCTAACACAGACAGGGCTCTGATTATATGTTAGGGAGCGATGGGTAAACTAATCTTTAAATTCAGCTTACCTAATTCACTAATTTATGCCACACTGAATTGAGATATTAGTTTTCAGGATAGGGAAATAATCTATTTTAAGTTTTCTAGACCACATGTACAAAACTGGGCTTATCTCCTTTTCCCCTTACATAATGAGGATATCAAACTCTTTATTAATGCTTCAGTGGCTAAAAATTAAAACACACACACACAGACACAAATCCTTACACTTGACCTTCAGTATCTGCCAAGTGCTCAATAAAAGCACAAAGGCTCCTTCCCAGCACTGACCTATTGCATCCCCAGCCCCAGGTTCCACCTTGCCAGGAGCAGGCTGAGGTGGTGCTGGGCTGCTGTTCTTTACAGGCTCAGCACTTGTCCCTGAGATAGTTTCTTTTCGAGAGGCTTTGGGTGGAGGTGGCTCTTCTACCAAAACACCACTTTGTCGCTGCCGTCGCCGTTTCTTACTCCATAATTCATGGCAATCCTGCCAGTGGGGAAGGCTGGAAAAAGACAAAAGGGGAAATGTGTGTGGGAATGTGCACTACTGAGTGAATGGAGGAACAAGAGATTAAAATGGGAAGGCAAAGAGCAAGGGGAAATGGAAACGATAAAGAAAATATAAAAATAACCAGAAAAGTTAGTAAACAGCAGCAGTGTAAATAGAATCATGGCATATGGTAGTCTGAGGAACTAAAGATCCAAATGCCAAAGGATTTCTTTCTACAGTGAGAAATGAAGATCTTGCTAATAACAGAGACACACCTGCTCTATAAAAATGTCCATATTCCAGTCAAATGGTTAAGTTTTATAATTGTGCTTAGCATAACAAAAATTAAGGAGACTTTATTTCTCTTGGTCAAGTTTTAATAGGGAATAAACAGAACAAAGGTGACTGCCTTCTTAATATTTACAAAAAGCCCAGGCAAGGTAGTAATTTAAATCTTGGAACCACATGAGCACATTGTAACTAAACCATCTCTGTATAAAATCAATTTATGTGTTACTTGGTCTCTATGGACCAAAAAACTTGTTCTTTTTTCTTTCTGCCCACTGAATTTCCATGACTGAATATTTTCATTTGTGAGGTTTAATACATTTTTGGACTTTCCGATACTCAATAAATTCTAGTAAGTTAAATCTTACCACAACACAGATTACCACTGCCAAAATTTCCAATTTTTGCTAACCTTACATACTTCAGTCACATTCAATGCATCAAAATTCAAACACAATAAATGAATTAGGACATTTCTTTGGATTATCAGATTTGTAGTTATTATCTGTTCATATACTAACATCTCATACATAAGATACAATGTTCCTATAAGAAAGAAATGCCCACAAACTCTGACGTGTAAGTTATAATGCTGTCAGCGAAAATCAAAGGCTTCTATCAGAATGTGAGATGGGGAGTGTAGAACCTCTGAGGATCCCATATAATAGAGAAAATTAATAAGATTCTGATAGAAGACACATTCAGAGACCATATTTTCTATATAAAAATTCAGGACACACTGTCTGATAGATAAACTACTGGTTCAATCCCTGGTCAGGAAACTAGATCTCACATGCCACAACCAGGAGTTCTCATGCCACAACTAAAGATCCCACATGCCACAACTAAGACCTGGTACAGCCAAACAAATAAATATTAAAAAAAAAAAAAAACAACATAAAATTAGGACTGTTCTTGCACATATGGGATAACATGATCATTGCAGATATAGGCAATTAAAACAGATGAAATGTTTAAAAGCAAAAACTAGAAGGAATACTGTCAAAGAGGCTCTACAGAGCAATCTGCTGGGGCTCCAGGGACAAATAGCTTAATCCAGTTAGAACAAACACCATATCTAAATGTGTCCCTTGTTTAAAAACACAAAGCAATAAACTTCTATCAGCCATAATACTCAAGGACACCTCTCGATTTGGTTGGCCACTGCAGCTTCTTTTTTAAAAAACCTATTATTTTGAGTTTCTCAGGTTGAGTCACTAAAAGGCCACCAGCACTTACTCTGGAGGATCCATTTTGCTGAGCTCAACATCTTTAAGGAAATCACTCTGTAGAGTCTGTTCAGCTGTACAACGTTTGCTAGGATCTAACGTCAGCATGTGGTCCAGTAAATCAAGTGCTGCTGAAGGAATGCTGTAGAAAGGAAGAACAAAAGAACAAGTTCACAATGACTCCACAGTTCTTAAACCTGTAATCTTCTGCCAAAGGTCTCTGAATTTCCAGCTCCATGTAAAAACCATGGGAAGGGAGTTGGAACCTGGCTAAATAAGAAAGCAGATTTGCTTCTACACAGGATTCAAGAAATGCAATAGTACCACAGGTAGAAAACATGAAGCCTTGAATGCAAGACTATGATAAAACTCAAAATGCTCAAAAATAAACTGTTTTCCTACAGTGTGTTGGCATAATAAACTAGGATAGCACTAACTCCCCAGGACAGGGAAAAGCTAAGTCCAAACAACAGACAAACACATAAACAAATAGATGTACATATGTCAAACTCACAAAGAGAATTCTTCTCGTAGGCGCCGTCTATATTGCTTCTTCGGTTTCATTGTATTGAAGTAGGGCAGCTTGATAACATCAGGCCACACAGCTGGACAAGGGCTACCACAGAGTCGACTGAAAACAAAGCAAAAAGCAAGAACAAGGAAGTGAGTGAGCATTATAAATTTTAGAGATTCTAGAAGCAGAAATGATTACCTCCTCAGGTTATAGGGGCTTTTGGCTTATTAAACTAAAAGGCATACAGAGAGGTAAAACCTGACCTCACCGCTTTAAGGACAGAGGAGTCGGTTAAAAAATAGTAATGAGAAAATACTGGCACAATAGTCCAAAGTGATTCACACATTTGGCTTTGTAAGACATGTTCTTAATGCCCCACATAGATTTTCATTACCAGTTTTGTTCTGTTCAGTTAGCATTAATTTCAAAGAGCTGAACTGGTCCTATAACGTCCTTGTAGGGAAAACTAGCAGAAGAGAGCTTAAGACTGGAATTCTGAGGGAAAACTGAGCTTAGCGCATAACACATAATGGGCTATATACCACCTTTTATAAAGTCTATATTAGCTTGTCATATTCTTCCTTTTAATCTTACTGCAAAACAAAACAAAAAAACAAAACTCAAATTTCATCCCAATCCCAGACCTTACCCAAACCCTCTATTAAAGGCTCTCTTTTATAATTATCTGTTTACATGATGCATCACTTACTAAACTCTGAGTTCTTTGAAGGCAGGGACCTATTTTTGAATCCTCAAGTTTAACAGTGATAGGAATTTGTTAGAAAATAGGCTTAATGAATGTTTGCTGAATAAAATTGATCTTAATCTAACCTAAATAAGAATAAACAACTATTCTGAAAACAGCATGCTTTTACATGAAGAACTAATAAAAACTATGCAAATTAAGTGAAATACACTTACTTATATATATAAGTGTGTGTGTGTGTGTGTATATACATACACACTTTCTGTATACAGCCCATGACAAAATATATGGTAAACCTGACTGAAGAGAAACTTACTTGGACATAAGGAGCATAAATCATTTAGTAGAATGAATGAAAAGTATTAGAAATTAGAGGATGAGATTACTGATCAATCTTGGGCACTCAGAGCACATACACAGCTGTACCTGATCAGTTCTAGCTGAGCCAGTTCCAGATTGGCTTGAAAAATAGGCTTCTTTGTGAACAGTTCCCCAAGAATGCATCTAGAAAGAATAAAGTTGAGAGGTCAGAAGAGAAATCCCTGGAGCTTATTTAAAGTGTATTTCAATAAAAAAATAAATAAAGTGTATTTCAATAAACTTTCATAGTGTATCAGGTTGCAACTGATATACTAAAAAAGCCCCAAACTAAGGGCCTGACTTTCGTAAAAGAAAATACTTCTTATGGTCAAAATAATATTAAAGATTAAGATTTGCTGGTAGATCAAACTTTTGCCACCTATAAAGGACAGTCTATAAGCAGAGACAAGAAGTCAAGGGACTTTCCTGGTAGTCCAGTGGTTAAGACTCTATGCTTCCAATGCAGGGGGCATGTGCTCAATCCCTGGTGGGGGAACTAAGATCCTACATGTTACGTAGTGTAGCAAAAAAATAAAGAAAACAGGAGTCAAGAGCCCTTTTCTACCAATTCCATTGTAAATTAAGGAAATGGCTAAACACTAAAAAACTCCACACTTCAATTTTACAAAGATGCTGAGCAGTTCCAGTAAGAATATGAGCCTTTTTCTTCATCTGCTCTGCAGAATGGGCATTATATACAGCCCTCTTGACATTGTATTTGTAAAGTTCATTGTCATCAGTCAGAATCAGTTTCAACAGAACTTTCAAATATATTATGCTTAAATTCTTTCACCATTTTGAAAAAGCCTTTCAAAACTATATGACATATTTACACAGTCTCCAAGTATCTCTCCATAAATTATTAATTATAAAAGGAAAACTAGTAACTATTTAGTAGTGAAAAAAACAACACCTTAGCTAAGTGACCAAAGTAACATCACCAGAAAAAGGCAAGCAGGGTGCATTTGAGTACAAATGTAATACGTTAAAAAGAACACTTCTGAAATATAAAAGAATGAAATTCTCCCATCTGCAACATGGATGGACCTAGAGGGTATTATGCTTAAGTGAAATAAGTCAGATAAATACAGTATATTACCATTTATATGTATAATTTAAAGAATAAAACAAATGAAAGAATGTAACAAAACAAAACAAACTCACAGATATAGGGAAAAAACTAATGATTACCAGTGGGGAGAAGGAACTGGAAAAGAGCAATATAGGGGTAGGGGATTATGTATAAAATAAATAAGCTACAAGGACAGGAATACAGTCAATATTTTACAGTAACCTGAAATGGAGTATAATCTACAAAAATTTTGAATCATTATGTTGTATACCTGATATTTTAAATTAACTAAACTTAAAATTTCAGCCAAAATCAAAGCCGAAAAAAAGCCAAGTAACTGTTTCAGATTAAAGAATGAAAACTAAATGTAATATGTGCTACTAGACCGGATCCTCTATTACATGAGGTATTGTTGCCAGGACATTATGAGCATACTGACAAAATTAGTGTGTGAGTATATAAAACTACTGGAGAAGGAAATGGCAACCCACTCCAGTGTTCTTGCCTGGGAAATCCCATGGACAGAGGAGCCTGGTGGGCTACAGTCCACGGGGTCACAAGAGTTAGACACAATTTAGCAACTACACCACTATCACTACCATATAAAATTACTTTGAAATGGTCCTGAAAAAAAGATATACAGTATACATATACAAACATACATTTTATTCTAGGAATATACTGTATGTTATATTACATGTAAGTACATATATATATATTATACATATATGCATCTAGAGACCATGCTCTGCAACAAGAAAAACCACCACAATGAGAAGCCTGAGCACTGCAACTGGAGACTAGCCCCCGCTAGTCACAACTAGAGAAAAGCCCATGCAGCAAGAAGACCCAGCACAGCCAAAAATAAACAAATAAAATTATTTAAAGAAGGAAATGTGGCAAGTTAAAAATCAGTAAAACTAACATAAATGATCTTCAAATAATTATGTTGAGTAAAAGCTGCCAGTGTGAAAAAAGAACATCTACATTATGATTCTATTTACCACAAAATTCTAGAAATATAAATCAATCTAAAGAAGACAGCAGAAGAGTGGGTGCAGGGAATGGGATGACATGGACAGTAAAGAGGGACTAGAAAGGAACACATGGATAATTTTGCGGCACATTACTTTGGTTGTGGTGGTGGTTTCACCAATGTCAAAACTTAAATTATACACGTTAAATATATGCAGTTTATTATAAATCTCAATTGAAAGGTTAAAAAAATTAGTAAATCTGAATAAAGGCTATATTAACATTCTTTGTATTATCCTAGTATCTTTTCTAATTATTTCAAAATAAATTTAAAACATGAAAAAAATTACATCAATACTCTATACTTTTTATACCTGAAATATTTTTCTCAAACAGGAAGGTAAAAAAAAAAGGACAACAAATCTCTTTTCTGGCCTGTGTTCCGAAATGAGATTTATTTACAAATACTCCTGAAACCAGTGTTTACAGACAGCCCTCCACATCTCTAGGTACCATATCCACAGATTCAACCAACCATGAACTGAAAATATTCAGAAAATAATTTCCAGAAAGCTTCAAAAAATCAAAACTTAAATTTGTCATGCTGGCAACTATTGGAGCATTTACAGTGTTTAGGTATTATAAGCAATCAGATGACTGAAAATATAGTGGAGGATAGGTGGGAGGGTGTGTGTAGGCTATATGTAAATGCTACACTATTTAATATAACACACTTGAGCATCCCCAGGACTTTGCATGAAGGGGGGGTCCTAGAACCAACCCTGCTGTGGATACAGGGACGACTATAATACAGTTTAACTTTGAAATTCTTTAGCTTGACAAAATTTGAGAAAGCAAACAAACGTAGCTTTTAAAGTTATCAGCAACTTTCTTTTGGCATTTGTTAACCTCAAATTCTTACTTCCAATAGGCTCTCGAAACTTATCCAGAGAAAGAAAAGTGTAAGCAAAATTGTTTCTAATATTAACTGCCAAATCAAATTCCAAATACAGTGTTATCACAACAGGTAAAATAAAACACAGAAAGAACAACCCTGCTGAGTTTACAGACTCTAGGTACAATGTGTTGTACTAGTCTGTGTGGTTTCTCCCTTGATTTTCACACTGAACTGCTCTGCTCCATTGATTAATTCTGCCAAGAACATCCTACAAAAACATCTTCAGAGAGACTACCACGGATCTCCAAAGTATTACGTGCACATCAAAAGTCAAACAAAATCTCAATTCAATGAGTCGCTGGGCTTTTAAAGAAAGCATAATTTTCTACAATTTTAATTTTCAACTGTGTTTTTGTGTTTTCAGTTTCTAGTCCTTCAGTGAGGAAGACATCATTATGTAATCAACACTTGGCTACTGCATTGAGGTGGTAGATTGCACAGAAATAATACCAACAGAGCTATGAACTTTCCCTGTGCACCTTAATGGGGCGTTACCTTTAGAGCCTAGGTGTGACAACTTAAACACTAATACTATTAAAGCAAATAGTCCAGAACACAAACATGCCCAGCTTGAGTCAGTAAAATTTAACTAAAGCTTCATAGAGTTGGGTAGGCTACTACAGAAATTAAGCTCTTTCTCCATCACCCTTTTGAATTTTGAAATAAAAGCCCTGTAAGTTCTCCTTTGGAAGAATGACATTAATAGAGAAGAGAAAGGATGGAAAAAAGGGATATGCTCCCTGTGAAGTATATGTGTCAGAATCCTAAAGTGTGGAGGTCAAGGTCAGTGTGGATATATAAATAATACTGCTTAAGAAACAATTAACTAACATGACCCATTTAAAATGTCTATACCCCTAACATACAAACTGTGGTCTCTAAATATAATTTTCTACTAAAAGGACACCTTCAGAGAAACGGCCAATTCCAGATCTGTGGCAGGAAATGAACTAGACGAGACCAGAACCAGCAAACAATAGAGGCTATCAGTTCCCCTGTGGCTGAGTCAAAAGGTCACAAGAATTAACCTGAATAAACTCCCAATGACTGAAGACTGGGCAGTTTGAAGAGGAATAAGGATGATAACTCTAACGAGTTATCATTTAAAACATGTCAAATATGTTTAAATCCATGAGTTCATAATGACACTAAAACCAAATGACCACAATGACTAAAAATCAAACCCCAAACAACCTCTCTTTGGTCATTTTTGGAAGATAACAGTAAGTCACCTTATTATTTTGAAAACTGGTAAATAAAACGAAAGATTTAAACCTTTAATAAAACCCTTTAAAAAAGTTTTTTTTTGGCCCCGCCCAGGCGGCTTGTGGAATTTCAGCTCCCCGACCAGGGGCTGAACCATGCTCTCACCAGTGAAAATGTGGAGTTTTAACCACCGGACTGCCAGGTAACTTCCTAATTAAGCCTTTTCAATATCATTTGTACCCAAGGTTAGCCAAATAGATAACCTTTCTTTATTCCAAGAAAGAATGAAATGATTAGACTATCATACCACAAAAAAACCCAAATGAATTGATGGATGCAGACCACTAATAGCTAACAACACTTCCAAACGAGACAATTACATATTACATAAAATGGTGTGTGATATATGTAACTCCACTCCAATAGGGATGAATATTTTACTAGACATTGTTTAGAACTGCCTGTGTAAGAGGATAATAAAAAGCTGACTAATTTGTAATGGATTTTTTAAAATCATTTTTAAATTTTCTACAGATAATACACCCAGTTATTGCCTGTACTCTGGACAAGAGGCTGCCACCGCTTCCTACCCCCAACTAGGATTCACAAGTGACTATGTGATCTGTCAGAAGTACACAAAACCACCTGTAGAATAGTTTCAGGGTCAGTGGGTATTGGGAATCAGACCTGAATTCACCTACAATTTATAGGAAATAAAAAGAGAACTACGCTAAAAAAAATCACCATAAGGATGCAATCAGCAAAGTCTAGATGGTGACAAACTCTTTAGGACAAATAAACCAATTTCTTCTTAAAAAAAAAAAATTATAAGGAGGGGGGACCTAAGAGAGATGGAGGGGGAATCTAAAATTAAAAGATGAGATATCAACTGCAATCTATGAATCTTATTTGAAACTATGTGTCTGATACTAAGAAATATTTAACAGATTTCTTTGAACTCTGGCTAAAAGTTGATCCCTATCCTTTTGAACTTAAAGAAGAGCTGCAAAAAACAAATGGAGAGATAAAACACGACACAAGTTCATCAGTATGTCAGTTAGAAACAAAAAAAAGATGAAAGGACTCTTACCCACAGCTCCAAACATCTATCGCTGGTGTATAACGCTCCTCTCCCAGTAGAAGTTCTGGAGGTCGGTACCACAGAGTAATAACTTTGTTTGTATAAGGACGGCTGAAAAGTAAAATACAACCATGACATAAATTTACAATGGTTGCTGATGAAAAATACTTGTATAATTAAATGCAAATTAAAACAGCTGTCAACTGGAGATGGGATCATCAAAACAGCTCCATAGCAACCTAACAGTTCAAAAGTAAACTGGACAGAAGATGAAGAAATAACTTCCATTCCAATTTGGGTTGATTTATTTCAGTCTAAAGCGGGTTCAAGAATTCAGAAAGAATTGTCTAAAATCTAGGTGGTAACACGTTTAGAAAATTATGGAACTCTTCAGTTACTGCAATTTACAGAATACTAGCATATCCAAGAATAAAAAGCACTTTTTCCTATTTCCCACATGTAATTTTGATGAATGACTCACCTCTCTTCAGAATTATAGAGTCGAGCAAGTCCAAAATCTGCTAGTTTGATCTGCCCACTGTAAAACAAAAAATAATTATTTTCATAAGTAACAACAGGAGCTTCCAAATTACACTTAAAAAGTCAAGTGCTGGGACTTCCCTGACAGTCCAGTGGTCAAGACTTGGAGTTTCTGTTGCAGGGGGCACAGGTTTGATCCCTGATCGGAGAATTAAGATCCCATGTGCAGCAAGATGAGACACACATACACACAAAAAAGTCAAGTGCTAATTTAGGAGTTAAAGGAATTACAAAAATGAATTTAGACCTTTTCGTTCTGCTCTTAACGGTAACTCTCCTAGATTAAGTTTCCCTGACCACACCATTCCACAAAGCCTAAGGGAGTTTTTTTTAGATTACTATTATGTTTTTGGATTTGATTCCTTAACTAAATATTTATTTCTTGGCAAACAACAGTGACTAGAACCTGATAGATTAAATACTTATGGTTGGGGAAAAACTGAATGGGCTATTTCAGATTAAGGGAGATTTAAGAGTCCTAACAACTAAATCTTACTCATAATCCCTGACTGATTCTGGCTTGAACAAATTAGCTCCACAAAAGACTGTTTTTTTATTCTGGCCACGCCATGGGGTTTGCTGGATCTTAGTTCCCCAACCAGGGATTAAATCTGGGCAACAACAGTAAAAGTGCCAAGTTCTAATCACTGGACTTCCAGGGAACTCCCTACAAAAGATATTTTTGACATAACTGAAAAAACATAAAATATGGACTGTTAGAAGATAATATATAATAATTCTGTCAGAGTATTTAGGATCAAACATACTGATATAATTTGGTTTAAAATAAGTAAGGCAGAAAAATAAGGGAGCAAATACAGCAAAATGTTAATTGTTATATAATGTTAATGTTAAAGAGACCACACCCATGTTTCACGCTGCTAAATATCCTTCTTTTGACAGTGAATCAAGTAATATTTTAATAAAATGCAACACAAAATGCTGGGAAACTATTTAAAAACCATAATTAACTATTGGATTAATCACACTTATCTCAATTTTTGTGTACAGTTTGTGTTACCTCTTGGGGAATGAAAAGCCAGTTGACTATTTTTAAAGAACTGGGGATATCACAGGTGTTTGACAGCTCAGATCTAGCAGGAAAATGAGATAGAAGAGGGGGAAAATAGGCTACTCTATGAGGTGCTCCTCAAAATCTGAGCAATAGGACAAAATATTAAAACCAGGTAACTACTAGCAACAAAATTTTACATTAAATCAACTCAACATTCCTAATAAAGATAATGGGCACCTTACCCACTTGTCCCATACCTCATCACATTTTAAGTTCAATTTATAAACAATTTCTGAGAAAAGCAAAAAGGAAAGAAATAGCTGTCTTGAGTCCTATATTGAGACCAAAAGGGTTCCTCAAATTCCTTGGCATCCTTACTTTGATCCAAAGACTCAAGGTAAGTTCTACTATGGTACAACTTAAAAATTAAAAGGGCAATAGAGGCACTTTCTCGGTGATCCAGTGGTTTAAGAATCAGCCTGCTAATGCAGGGAACACGGGTTCAATCCTTGCTCTGGGGGGATTCCATTTGCAGCAGAGCAACTAAGCCTGTGCAGCTCTACTACTAAGCCCACATCACCCCGCAAGGAGAGCAGTCCCCGTGGTGAGAAGCCCGCACCGCAGTGAGACAGCAGCCACGGCACACTGCAACTAGAGAAAGGCCACGTGTAGCAACAAAGACCCAGTACAGCTAAACAAATAAATATGATTAATAATCAATTAATTAATTAAATTTAAATAAATAAAAAATTTAAAAAGATGGTGGAAATGATAAAATTTATTAAAAGAAATAGCAATAGATATATGGTTATGGAAAATCAGGTTAGACCTAAATATCACCAGAACCTAGTTTATTTCCTAATCCATCGTCGTACCCTCTTACTCTCAGTAAATAACCTTCTTCACTGGAAATAGATGTCATCAAGTGGGAGCTATTTAACATTGTTTTACCTATACTTATTTACACCTCTAATCTTGCTTTTTCCTTTCCCTTCAATTACAGGAAAAAATATGTCAATCTCTTTTCCTGTTCAAGGATAATCAGTACTACCACCTCTAGCTTTGATGCCATCCCCTCTAGAACCTCGTTCCTTTAAATTACTTTGGTTCTTTCCTGAATCTTCAACTTTCCCCTCTTTATTGACTTTCTTTTTCTTTAGCATTTAAATATGCTCAAAGCTCTGCATCCTTAATAAAAAATTAATAAAAACAAAGTCAAAACTACAATTACCTTCCCATTAATTATGCTACCTACCCACTTACCCCACACTTTTACCACTGACCTTTTTATTTTCAGATTCTCTTCTTGAGTCTTAAAACCTATTTACATCACCTGACATCTATAACCACACATTTCTTAAACCTGCCAATTTTGCATTCATGATATTTCCTTATTTTCTTCCGATCTATCTGACCAGTTTCTCGGATTTCATCTTCTCATATCTTTTCTATGCTTGGTAACTCCTGAATCTATACTGTTGGTTTGAAACTCTCATGTGATCGTATGCCTATTTGATATCACTACCCTGGATATATTATAGTGCCCTGAATATATTATAGTATGGGGTTTCCTCTTTTGCCTGATGCATCCTATTCTTCCTTTATTCCCTATATTGATCACTCTGCTGCCCATCTAGATAGTTTCTCAAGTGAGAAATCTGTGAGTACACTGATTCATTCCCCACCATTCACTCTCTCATCAAGTCTACTATCTACCAAGTCCATGCTGTCCATCCTCTACTAGCAATGCCTTGGTTAGTTTAAGTACAGACCATTTCTTATATTTTTAATAAGTCTGTGGGCCCCCAGTCCACACCCTATATAGTGACCATCCAGTGACTTTTCTAAAGCAGAAGACTAATTGGTCTCTCTTATATTTAAAATAATATGGTTTCATTTATAGTTGTGTAATTAAGACAAACATCACAAAGCCCAACCCCGCTATCCTCCCTCTCTCATCAACTGTTTTCCCTCCTTCATCCAGCTGAGGACTCCTCTCTATGCCATCTCACTCAAAAGTCTCTGTGTAGACAGAACTAAATGGGCAAGAGCAGAGGCTGGTTGGATCAGACTAGACCATGAGACACCTGCAGCCTGCTCAGAAAACTGAAAAGAACATTCACTTTAGTCTAGAAGCTCACCAGCTTTCTGAACTCGGGAAGTTAGGGACAGAGAGGAGCTGGACCCACCAGAATGGACACCAAACAGGACTACAATTATTTCCTAGCCTTACACATCCCCCAACGGAAGAGCAAAAGGAACAGAAGAAAGTATATTAAAACTACAGTCCAGAAAACTGCAAGATGATAGCCATCATCATTAAAGTTTTTGATGCATTATTACTGTATATATAGATGGTTTTAAGCAAGTCCAGCTTTAATAAGAATTGTGGTGGGTCACAGATATAGTGACAGAAAGGAATTTTTCAATATCACATTTTATCTCATAAAGGTATTTAAGTACAAATAATAATTTTACAATAATTTGGACAATTAATGAAATAATGCATTAATTGTATAATTTGAAAACAAAAAATTACCCAGCACCTCTTAATGGCTGTCTCTTACAAATTAAATTTAAATTGGCTCCTTGCAACTGTCCAGCTTCATCTCGCCATTATGTGTTTCACTCTTCATGCCCTAGCAACACTGACTCCTTTTCCAGTTTTTCAAACATGTTATGTTATTTTCACATTTATGCGCTTCTGTAAATTTTGTGAATTTGTAAATGTGAATTTACAAATATGAATTTGTAAATTCAATCTCTTTTGCCTAGAAATGTAACCCTCTGTTGTCATTCTTTCTGGTAAATTCCTATTCATTCCCTGAAATCACATCTTCCCAGATGTTCCCAAATCTGGGGGTAGGGGGCAGTTTAATAAATGTTTATAGAAAATAAGCAATTTATTTGTTTAGCTTCCCACTAAATGCAACTCTCCAGGGACCAACCATCCAACATGAGACTTTAGGTGCTAAAACCAGGACAGCCCTGGGCAAGCCTGAAGAGTTGGTCACCCCACTCCACAAAGACAGGAAACATGTCATAGTCATTCTATATTCCCATATATTAATAGATAATGTTTGTTAAACAGAACTGAACAGAAATACTTAATACAAAGAGTGCATCAGACAAGTTCAGTTCAGTTCAGTCGCTCAGTTGTGTCCAACTCTTTGTGACCCCATGAACTGCAGCATGCCAGGCCTCCCTGTCCATTACCAACTCCCGGAGTTTACCCAAACTCATGTCCATTGAGTCGGTGATGCCATCCAACCATCTCATCCTCTGTCGTCCCCTTCTCCTCCTGCCCTCAAACTTTCCCAGCATCAGGGTCTTTTCAAATGAGTCAGCTCTTCGCATCAGGTGGCCAAAGTATTGGAGTTTCAGCTTCAACATCAGTCCTTCCAGTAACACCCAGGACTGATTTCCTTTAGGATGGACTGGTTGGATTTCCTTGCATCAGACAAAGATGGCTATAAATAGCCTAATTACCTACAGAACCAACACTGGCTTTATTTCAATGGTTCCAGACTTGCTTTTTATTCCTCAATATGTAGGGCTATTACTCAAGGCTACTGTGAGTAACAAGTGATATCACCAATTCACTTTAAGCAAATAGCCAAAGAGGAAGGAAGCAGATGATAAAAACTTCTGAAGAAATAACACTGTTCTTTACCAAATTCCTGTCCGTCTATACTATTAAAACCCAGGAGTAAGTGCTGGCAAAAATGTCAGTCCCCAGCTGTGTTTACTCTGAAATTCGATAACTAAGAAAGTCTCAAAAGCAGCTATAAGAGCAGGTTTGTTTCTCTCAATGAAACAACGGAGAATTTCCTTAAGAACTCAATGTGTGTAGGAATTTGCCTAGGACCACAAAAGTATTACTAACTATGGCAAAAGCTCTCTGAATATTCCTGCAGGATGCGGGTGATTCTCTAACATGTTTGCATTTAAAAAAACCTTTACAAGTAAAATAAAAAATACCTTTACAGTCCTATCTCCTTTAGCTCCTTACCAAGACTGAGTCTGAGACTCTGCTGATATCCCATCACAAGTTGTTCCTAAGGTACAGACATCAGATGTACATAAACACAAACCCTGCATTATTGGGTCTATCTATAACTCTTTAATTAATTAGCTGAAACTAAGGGTGTCAGAAGAGAGGGAGAAAATGCTTAACCTCATATGGTTATTATGTTACCTGTTGTTCAGCAAAATGTTAGAACACTTAATATCCCGATGCAGGAAATTCTTTTTATGACAGTAATCCAATCCTTCCATTAGCTGTTTCATGAATGACTTGATATGGTCCTCAGAAAAGTGCACCAAACCAGATTCCAGAAGTCCCATTAAGTCATGGTCCATATATTCAAACACAAGGTAAAAGGCTCCTACATAGGATGAAAGAAAAAATTTAGAAAAGAGAAAAAGGATGCTGAAATAACAATGCCTTAATTTTTATATAGTTTTGGAGTTGACCATAAGCTCTCTAGAAAAAGATGCTTAATTGTATATATGAAGAAACTAAAACTCCAGCAACTGAGTAACTTGCCCATTCTAATAATAAATAACAGAACTACTATTTGAATTAATCTTCTGACCCACAGCCTGGTGCTCTTTGGACTACCTACGTCTTGAAGGGGACAACTCTCCCAATTAGGTTGTATATGTCTTTTATGATCTAAATCAGTGGGCAAATTACAGATTGCTTGGGGCAAATCCCTTCTGTCTACTGCTGTAAATAAAGTTTTATTTGTAATACACAACCATGCCCATTTGTTACACACTGTCTAAGGTTACTTTTGTAGACATCTTTATAGAAGTGTTAACAGCACTCACATAATATGCCAGGACTGCATGTAGTACAAACTATTAATGAAATTTATAGCATTTAAGAATCGAAAGAAAAATGAATCATCCAATTCAACATCCTAAATTTAAAAGTACGTAAAAGGCTAAGAGAATTGTAAAAGATTTGAAATCCACATTCTCTTTACACTTTCAGCATGGTGCATGAGAGAGGCAAATTCTGTGACATAAGAAACACTAGACCTAGTTATACTATGATCTATCCAGTCTAAAATTCTTCTCTCAGTAACATAAAGGCAAGGATTCTTAGTCTAGAGGGTAGGCTTCAAGGACTCTGAAACAGCATATAACATTTTAAATGTTTTTTTGAAGAATGAATCCATGAGATATATATATATTTTTTTCCCATGAGATATTTTAAAAGGTCCATGACTGTCAAAAAGTTAACAACCACTGGATTAAAAGAATACCTTAGCTTTAGTTAAGCCCTCCTACAAAAAAGAAAACACTAAAATTGCAAAAGAGGAGTGGATAAAGGATACAAAGAGACAACTCAAGAAAGAGAAAAATAAGTAAAATTCATAGACAAGGGAAAAAACGGGAATGCAATCCAAAATAATGGTATCACTCATACTTCATCTATCAGATAACAGTTTTTTAAAAAGATAAATTCAACATTATGGAGGATTAAGTGAGATGGGACTCACTGGTGGGACCTAAATTATTATGCAATCTACAATTAAATATGAAAATTCCTTTCACCAAATAATTCAATTTCTAGGAAACTATATTAAGAAATAAATCAAAATGCAAAGATTTATGCAAAGATGCTCAATGTGGTGCTATTATAGTATTTTTTTAAACTGACAACTAATTGCTCAACAAGGACTGGTGAAATTAAATTTGGATTCATTTATCTTCATACACAGTCATTAAAACATGTTAATGATACAGGAAATTGCTTATGGCAAGTTATAAAACACTAAATACACCTTGATCTCAGTTATGTTAAAATAAATACAATATCTATGAAGTACCAGAAAGAAATATGCCAAAATGTTAATACTATATAGTGATTTTCTATGGATGGTAGTATACTGAAAGGGAGTGGGAGAGAAGTGATTGTCATTTTCCTTTTCTTATTCATCTATATTTTCATTTCTTCCACAATAGGCATGCATCACATCCATTCTTTCACTTATTTTTTTGTGATTAAAACAAAATTTATTTTTTGGCCATTTCGCATAGCATGTTAAGTTTCCCTGACCATGGATGGAACCCGTGCTCACTGAAGTGAAAGCATGGAGTCCTAACCACTGGACTGCCGAGGACGTCCTCAATTATTTTATGATTTTTTTTTTAAGAAAAAGAATTTGAACAGTATATAGTAAATTACTTATACAGTACAGAATGATATGGATAAAAGTAAGGACCTGTCCAAAAGCAATCAATTAACATTTTCTTACTCATTTTTACTCTGTATTATTTTTATAATTAGAAAAGATTAAAAAACACACCCAGAAATATACCTAGTATACTTAATTCTATTCTAACTTTCATAAATTTATCTAAGCAGAATTTCCTTTTCTTTAAAACTACTTCTACCAAACTCAAGAAATACTACTCCCTTAATGCTAATATCTCTGAGGCTCTATAAAGAAGTCCAACTTAACCAATACCCTCCTAATTTTATATATTTCAATCATATTTTCTCTTAATATCCCAGGCTACATTCACATATGCCATCTCTTTACAGCTGCCCATTTCTAAACCTTCAGATTTATTTTAACAGAAGTTGGCTGGATGTCATAGACAGACTACTACAATTTTATTCCCCAAAGACAAGTTACAAATCCAGGAAAACCACAATGTGACCTTAAGAAAATTGTTCTAGAAATACCTGCTTTGGATTCTAAACTGTATGAGTACAAAGCTATGTTTAAAAAAAAAAAAAAAAAGATGCATATAAATGAAGGAGGGCTTCCCAGTAGCTCAGCTGGTAAAGAATCCGACTGCAATGCAAGAGACCCCAGTTCTGGGTCCGGAAGATCCCCTGGAGAAGGGCTAGGCTACCCACTCCAGTATTCTTGGGCTTTCCTGGTGGCTTCAGATAGTAAAGAATCTACCTGCAATGTGGGAGACCTGGGTTTGAACTCTGGATTGGGAAGATCCCTTGGAGGAGGGCATGGCAACCCACTCCAGTATTCATGCCTGGAGAATCCCCATGGATACAGTAACCTGGTGGGCTACAGTCCATGGGGATGGCAAAGTGTTGGACATGATTGAGTGATTAAGCACAGCATAAATGAAGGAAGGATGTAAAAATGAGAATAACTGTCTAATCTGGGTTTTAACTTTCATTACTATTATTATACTTTGTGAAAAACAAAAAACCCAAAAATAACACTTCAAAATGTTGCTTGGAGAATCTTACATTTTTTATGTGCTGGCCTTATTAGGTGTTACAACACTCTTAATTGTAATGATTAACAAGCATTTCAAAAGTGTAAGAGTACACTGATGAGGATGGAGAGCAATGTATTAACATCTTAATTTTGATATGTATTAAAGAAGCTGGATTTGTTTAGTACAAACTGTTAAGGGAAATAAAATGTACCAATCTACCATACAGAAACATGATTCTTTGCTAGTACCTTTGTCCTTCTTGAAATCCAGTGCATCCTGCTTATCTGTGACAATTTCCTTCATGTTAACAACACTTCGGTGGATCAGCTGACGAAGGATTTTGATCTCACGAATGGCTGTGATTGGGAAGCCCTCTTTTTCATTGTCCAGTCTCACCTTCTTCAGGGCCACCAGCTCTCCTGTTACAGCAAATTCAAACAGTTTTATCGTAATTAGCATTTTCTGGCCACCATCATGAATCAACCAATATATGCTCTTGCTCTGATATACTTAATGCCTACTTTAATGCTACATGCAAGATACTTTTATATTGTTTTTTTTAAAAAATCCCTACATCCCCTTTCTTATCTTTGATTTTTAAATGACTTTAAAATTTTAATTCAATATTCAATTAGGCCTAAAAATTTTTGATTATTAAAATATACCAAAAATTCAACTACTTCATTTTATTTTCAAGGACTAACTCCTTACCAAACGAAGAGTAACTTACAAATTTTACCTTTTCTTAAATCCCCCAAAACATTTTCAATGGACAACCAGAAGGAAGGTTTTTAGAAGATAATAATTATACTATGCTTTTGGAAAATTTTAGTCTATTTTGTAACTTTTGGAGACCAAATTAGAACTCGAAGTTTACTTTTGCTAAATCCACTTAAAACAGCAGTACGGTTAAATTTTTCACCATCTGACATCTAGAATTTTTTGGCATTATTTACCTGTGTCTTTGTCCTTTGCTTTATATACCTGGCCATAAGTTCCCTCTCCAATAATCCCAATAATGTCAAACTTGTCCACACAGCGTTTCCCCCAGTCACTTTCTGTCTGTCTTCTTTCTCCATAACGAGGACAACAAATTCTAAAAAAGGCAAATCAAAAAAAGAAAACAAACAAAAAAGTTGCTCTAAAAATTTAAGTGTATTTTTTTTTTCCTGTGTCACATAGCTTGTGGAATCTTGTTTCTCAACCTGGGATCAAACCCGTGACCTTCAGTAGAAGCTCAGAGTACTAACCATGCCAAGGAATTCCCTAAGTGTATACAAAGAACAAAACAGAATTCTTTTATGATGATTTCTTTGATTCCTGGCTCTTTTATCAGTTTCTTTATTAAAAAGGCAGGAATCAAATAATATAATAAATAGTCTCTCACAGTGGCTCAGATTTTTCTTTTTTTTTTTGCTTCAGGAAGACGTAAGATCAAATAATAGAATTGCTGCTTACTTCCTAACTTCTTACTGGCTTTCTCAACTATAGAATGGGAAAATAATCCCTACATCATAGGGTTACTATAAAAGTAAAATATAAAACTTTGGCAATAATATATGGTCAATAAATGGCAACTGTTTTTCTTACTAATAGAAGAAGGCTAACAATCAGAAGAGCGAACTCAGATTCTACTACATTATGACATGGCAACTCATGTAGTTCAGGGGAAAAAAATCCTGCATCTATTAATTCGTCATTAATATGTACATGGCTGACATCCTCTGTATAAAAGGATTTTTTCCCTCTTTAATACTCTAAGTAGTATGAACTCAAAAGATACCGTGGGATCAATGTTCATGGTAAACTTGAATTTGGGAAATTATTACTTTTCTAAAAAACATGACAAGGTATCTGGGGATGTAGATGAATTTTATCTGTGAAAATAAAGGAAGATCTACATTAGGCCCAATTCTCTGTGATCCTAATGGTGTAGGATGTGGTCCAAAGGTAGGGTTGGATCCTGCCAAAAACTCACTTTGGTCTCTTTTTGTACGGTTGCTGAGGTGGTGTGATTGCCTTTGGTTCTGGGGAGTCTGGGGGAGATGGATCCCCACCAGGGAGCTCTGGAGGGAGAGGGAGGTCTGTGAGTAGGTGCCGTGGTCTTTGTTCTTTCTCTTTCTTCACAGGTTTTGAAGGTAGAGTTTCTTTCGGACTAAACAACAGAGAGGAAAAAAAGAAAAAGACCACAATTACTTAAAGAATGTGCAAATAAAACTCAAAGATTATAATATCTGGTTATTAAGAGATTACAAAGATTTTACTTTTAAGGGAAAAGCCCCTGTAATATAACATAAAGAAATGGAGTTTAGTCACAATTAAAGAGACTTGGATTTTGCAAAGAGAAATCTATAGTATATTAAAAAAAAAAAAAGACCTGGGATATTATTTGTAGAAACTTTAATAAACTCTTAAATGTCCTCCTGAAGATGCTATCTGGATTTTTATTGAGATGAAATAAAATACAGCAAGTTATAATCTTAAATTTGCAAAGCACCATGGAAACCTGTGTAGTCACCAAACCTGCTCTAAAGATTTCAATAATGATGGAAAGCCCAACAGTGTAATACTACTATGTTACTAAAGATATGGAGAGAAACTCGGAAAAAGCAAAGAGTATTTTTAGAGTGTTTTGTAAGAAATACAGCTAAGCTGGAAATCAAAATAAACGAAAAATTCACTGATTTATTCTACGGGTTGGGAAGAAAAGGCAATCATATTCAACCACCCAAAATGGATAAATGACCCTCAAACTAAGAATCTAAGGAGAACGAGTCCAAGAGACCATTATAGAATCATCAAAGCACTGGTGGCTCAAATGGTAATGGTAAAAGAACCTTCCTGCCAATGCTGAAGACATGGGTTCAATCTCTGGGTTGGGAAGATCCCCTGGAGAAGGAAATGGCAACCCATGCCAGTATTTTTGCCTGGGCTACAGTTCACAGGGTCATAAGAGTCACATACAACAATGACTAAACAACAACAACAAAGTACTGGCAGCAGAAAGCCTCTCCAACAAATTATAATAGCAGGGGAACAAAAGGGATGGCTTTTCTGAAATAGATTAGAAAATTCAATTTTCAGATCTAATTTTTTAACCACCTCTACTTATGAGTAAAAGAAGGATTTTGTGCCATTCATGTCCTCAGAAAAGACAGGCAGCATACTAATTCATGTACAGAAATAAAACCACTATAGTCTTTTGTATTCCATCACAGTATCAGAAGATTAAAAAGGATTTGAGAATCCTAACCACAGTAGGAACCTCTTCCACTTTTTCAGCAAGTGGTTATTAAGAGAAAACTTTCATAAATACTACATAGAACCATAAATGCATCTAAGGGATAAGACAGCTTGCAACGTATCTTCTTAAAGCATACTGCTACCTTCAGTGTGTGAAACACAATCTCAAAAGCTACTATTTCCTATTATTTTTCATCATTTTAATCTCAAAAATCATACAAATAACAGAATCTAGTTTGTACCATATCAACCAGAACTGGGGTGGTCAGGGTAGAGCAAAACGATCATCTGAAATTTTGTTAAATTACTGACAGTGATGAACACACACCAACTTGCAGTAAGATTTTTCTACCCTGAAACAAAGTCTGTTACAAGAAAACTCTTGGGTCAGGATGTCATATAGAGTTTTAAAATTTCCCCAATTTTTAAGACATTCAGAAAAGAAAATTCCTAATTTTTCAATTACTCTGTCAAAATACTTTTTATAAACTTTAATCCATGATTCAAAAATAAAGTCCAGCTTGGTTCTGTGTCACTAGAATTAAATTAACTGAACTTTTTCACCATCATTTCATGTAAGTTCAGTCTATATTTTACATTTACATCTTATTTTCTCCAAAATTTACTTTATGAGTTCAAATATTATTTGCTATTGTGAGGATGTACATTGCTTCTGAAAAAATTTGAGTACGCTATTTCAAGAAAGAATTCAGTGTTTGATGGGATATGTACTACCAGTTTAGAGCACACAAGTTAAACAGAGGTTAAATTTTGTTTCAACAAATTCCACATGTGCCAAAAATCTTGCAATAATGATGCATAAAATAAAAATGATAAAATTGCAATGCTTAGCAATATTATGGCCTTTAGCCTTTAGTGTAGGGTACTCACTAAAATAAAGCTCTATATAGTTCTGAGAACATATGGTAGATGCAGAGAGGGTCTAACATAGTGGAAGAAATATTGAACACCTAAGCCATTACTTGAAGATTCAGTACCAGAAAGAACTGATTGACTCTATCAATATCAGTATTTCCTGCTTCTCCATTTATACCAGTAGATGGGTTCACTCATGGAGACAAAGTTGCATTAATGCCTGTGTATAATTAAAAGAAAAAAAAGAGTTGTCAAATCCCAGAGTGCTCAAATTTTAGAATATGGATAGTCTCTTGGAATTTATGATGCTGGAATTTATTCTGTAGGTACAATGTAAACGCCTCTTATAGGTCTTTACTGTTAATTAAAAAAAATATGAACTTACATATGAACTACACAAAAAGAAAATTAACTTGTTTTTGGGCCATGTCATACAGCTTGTAGGTTCTCAATCCCCTGACCAGGGATGGAACTTGGGCCCACAGCAGTGGAAGCTTGGAGTCCTAACCAGTGAAAAGTCAGGGAATTCCCCAAAATTAATTTTTGTAATTTTCAAATTTAAAATAAACTACTTTAAATATCCCCATCCCTCATGGCTCAGTGAATAAAGAATCTGCCGGCAATGCAGCAGACACAGGAGACATGGGCTCAATCCCTGGGTTGGGAAGAGTCCCTGGAGGAAGAAATGGCAACACACTCCAGTATTCTTGCTTGGGAAATCCCATGGACAGAGGAGACTGGGTGACTAAACATGCACTTTAAATATGGTCATTTATCTCCTTCCTCTTCAAGAAGGTTGTTTAAAAAGTTTGGTTTTTATAAACTTCTATTAAAATTTGAATGAACACATTAAAAACATTCTATTAGCATTCTAATAAAATAGAAATAGAAAACAAGCATTCTATTAGCAAAATCCTAAATTAAAATCTGACATTTAATAGGTCTTTTATACAAGAGTTCTGTATTTTAAAAATACAGCCTTTAAGAATCTTGTAGACTCTACTCATCTGATAAAACTCCAGATAAACCAGGCTATTCAAAAAATAGAGAAGAAAACAACATTTAAAAAACCCTACATGGTTAACTAAAAATTTAAAGAGTATACAGATGATTGGACTTCCCAGGTGGCTCAGTGGTAAAGAAACTGCCTACCAATGCAGGAGACATAAGAGATGCAGGTTTGATCACTGGGTCAGGAAGACCCCCTGGAGGAGGGCATGGCAACCCACTCCAGTATTCTTGCCTGGAGAATCCCACAGACAGAGACAGGGGGCAGGGGGAGTTACAGTCTGTAGGGTCACACAGAGTCAGACACAACTGAAGCAATTTAGCTACATGCATATGGATGATCTCTTTAAAAGAAATATATCTCCATGAACAGCTATGCCTGTGAAGAATGCATTGTATCAAAGTGGATGTTTGGAAGCCTTTGCTTCTAGAAACCAAGAATTGTAGACTGTCAATCAGAAAGGTTTTTGCAAATACCATTAGTTAAATTCACTCTTCCATTTGATACCTGTGTCTATATACTTCTGCTCAATATATATACTACACACACACACACACACACACACACACACACAATATACGCACCACACACACATAACGTATACACACACACATATACACACTACATATACATACACACACACACACACACACACACACACACACACACACACACACACACACACACTTACGTTTGAAAGAGATTCTTTTCCCAAAAGGACAAATCCTCTAATACAAGCTTTATATCATCCATGTGACAAATAATTTCTTAACTACATGCCCAATTTCATTTCACACAAGCCCTGACCCTGGTTCCTTCAGCAGTTTTACTTATTCAAATAATCAGTATTTAATGACTGCATTCTATGTTTTATGTTTAAAGTACTACAGGCAATAAAAAAATGTATAAGTCACATTCTCAACATTTAAGCTCCTGCAGTCTTCTATGACATAAAGTACAGAGGAATAGAAGTTCCATTCACAACTTTCAGATTTCTTCCTAAAAAGTCTTGTTACATAAAATTATTTTTTCGGGACTTCCCTGGCAATTCAATGGTTAAGATTCAGCGCTTCCTATGCAGGGGGGCATAAGTCTGATCCCTGGTTGAGTAACTAGGGTCCCAAATGCCACACGGACAAAAGAACCTTTTTTTAAATTAACAAACCAATGTTTTTCATGTGAAAGGTATAGCTGGTACATGGAAGGAGTGGCACCAAATAAGTAAATGAAGACAAAAACAGAAAAGCCATCTTGAATCTTAAGTTAGTACATAGTGAAAAAATAAAACTGATATTGGAAGAAATCTTCACTTCCATTTTTCTACCTTTAATAAGGACTATTAAATGAAACAGTTATACTTTTGGAATCAGAATTAATATGTAACAAAAATAATTTTTCTTACTTCTCTCGTGAGTGTTCTTAAAGACAGTTACACATACTCAAATAAGCACTGAATGATCTTACTTTACCCTTCACTTAGAATCTGAAAGATAGAAATCTCTATGTGCCTTCTATCAAAATGGTTCCACCTCCGCAAATCTGCACTTTACCCTGACTCATAGTAGATAGGTTCAATGTCTACTTGGTTAGCCAAGTAAACATTTCAAAAGGAAGATTCCTAGCCAAACTGATATGATTCTAGCCACTATGTAAACTAATATTTAAACAACGTTCCCGTGGAAAGATAGTGGCCGAGATTCCCTCTGGATGACTTCTTTTTCAACAAAACTACAAAAATATATATTTTGTATCTATGATAAGTATATTGTGTACCTCAAACAAATTTTTCTACATAAATTTCAGGTTCTTTTCTTCTCCTTTGTAGTTCTCAGGATGTGGCAGAATTCATTAATACCTATTAATATTAGAAAGAGCATGTGGAATTTTTCTTTAAAATCATATTTACCACTATATATAGTAATGGAACCATTCATTTAAATAGTCTCTTTTCCCATCATTTATTGCACTTGCACCTTCTAAAAAAGCACAGAGAGTAGTCTGAAAAAATACAGACCTAAAGGGCGGAAATGTATCACTATTCAAACTACTACTGTCACCTGGAAAGTAATGGAAGCTTGGGAATTGGTCTGGGACGCACGACTGATATTTATTTCTGTGCTTACAATGAAAACTTGTTGTATTAAGTGAAACTCATATTCTCTATAACAAGAGGGCAGAATCTCCATAGAAAAAACAATAACCCGAAGACTGCCAAGGTATATGTCACTGCTATATCAAGTTTGGTTGTACTTGCCTAGCTAGGCCCACCAAGAAATTAAACAAATGTATTTCCCAATGCCGTCCATGAAATCAGATTTGTGCTTCAAATCATTTTAGGTCTCAATACTCAGAGGACTCATTAAAATGAGAGCTCTTCTTATCACCACACTGTGAATTTATATTCTAATTAGCAAAGACTCTACATATTGTTCTTTTCCTTCTTAAGGATAATTTTTTTAAAGCATCAAGATGGAAAAAAGTCAATTTAAAAGACATTTTGGGGACCACTTAGGATATTAATATTATTATTATTGATATGCTACTGATATTATTCAATAAATGAATGTTTTTTAGGGTGATAAAGGTATTGTGATTATATAGGAAAGTGTTCTTGTTAGGAGAGACATGCTAAACTATTAAAAAATGTCATAATATCTATAGTTTAAAAAAATAAGGCAAAAAATTAACAACTGGTCAATCTAGGTAAAGGGCATACAGGTGTTAATTTTTCTGCAGTAATGTAATACTGAAATTTTCAACATAAAAATTGAAGGATAAAAACACATGATTTTTAAAAGTTTAAATCAAAATTATTGATACTCTTGTGAGAAAAAGGATTACTAGACCTCAAACTGTAATTCTCTTTTCCTAATCATGTCATACATAAGGACTTTTTCCACTGAAAACCAAACATCACAGGCATTTCCTATTCATGAAAGCATTCGAAACAGACATGCATCAGAACAATTTTGACAAAGCCTTGAGAACAAAAACTACATTACATTTAGATCAAGAGGGTTAAAATTTCCCAGTTAACTACAGGACTTACCTATCCATGTCATCATCTCCCAGTAATAAGGGTGGGAGGGGCAAAGGAGGCAACGTTGAAGTTTTTAGGTGTGGAATAGCAGCTGTTACAGATACTTGAGTCTTCACAGAAACCTGTACAGGGGGCTGAGAATTTGCCTGAGAGGACAGAGTAGATGTCCTTGGATGAACAGAGGGGGGCAAAGTTGAAGTACTTGAAGAAAGAACCTGACTAAATGTTGGCTGGGGAGGAGGCAGAGGTGGCTGCTGTGGAATAGCTGGCAGTGGAGGCAAAGGTGGCAAGGGGGGTGTCTGTGGTGGAGGGGTAGTAGTTGGTAAAGGAGGTGGAGAAGTAACTGTGGGAAGAGGTGGAAGGGTCTCCTTTTCAGATGTCTCTGTCTCTTTTGGAGTAACAATCTCCTCTTTCAGTGCTACAGGTTTAGAGTCTCTTGTTCCCTGTACTTTCGTATCTTTAAGAACAGGATGCTTCTCAGAGTTCTCATCCAACTTCACTTTCCCTGTATCTAAAGAATTTTTGACCTCTGTGTTTAGATGTGTTACATTCACCAGTTCAGTATCTGGGGCAGATTTTTCCAATTTTACACCTCTGGGTAACTTTTTAGGCTCCAAGCCTGAATCCTTAGCCTCTACTGAACTGTTTTCTTTTCTAGGCAAAAATATAGGTGAACCCTTGGATTCCTTCCCATCCATTTTTGCTGCAGCAGCAGCTGCTGCTCTTTCCTTCTTTTTCCTACTGAGTTCAGCTCCCAAGCTGGAGTTCAATGGAAGCCTGACAGGTGAGATACTGGAATGTCGACTGCGTGACCCGGATCTCTTCTTTTTACTATGAGAAGATGAGTGTCTTGAATATGCAGGACTTCTACTTCTAGACTTCATTGATTTTCTACTGGAAAAAGAAAAAAAATTTTAAATGCATAGACTATAGTAATATGGAAGAAAATAGTTAAACTATGAAGAACTGTAACTAAAAACACCCAGTTTGAGTACTTAGCAATCTTAAAAATAGATTGTTGTTGTTGTTGTTCAGTCACTCAATCCTGTCTGACTCTTTGCGACCCCATGGACTGCAGCACACCAGGCCTCCTTGTCCTTCACTATCCCCCGGAGTTTGCTCAAATTCATGTTCATTGAGTCGGTGATGCTATCTAATCATCTCATTCTCTGCCACCCTTTTCTCCTCCTGCCCTCAATCTTTCCCAGCATCAGAGCCTTTTCCAATGAGTTGGCTCTTCACATTAGGTGTTCAAAGTATTTGAGTTTCAGCTTTAGCATCAGTCCTTCCTATGAATATTCAGGGTTGATTTCTTTTAGGATTGACTGGTTTGATCACCTTGCAGTCCATGGCACCCACTCTCAAGAGTCTTCTCCAGCACCACAATTCGAAAGCATCAATTCTTTGGCACTCAGCCTTCTTTATGGTCCAACTCTCACATCCATACATGACTAATGGGAAAACCATACCTTCGACTATACAGACCTTTGTCGGCAAAGTGATGTCTTTGCTTTTTAATATGTTGTCTAAGTTTGTCATAGCTTTCCTTCCAAGGAGCAAGTGTCTCTTACTTTCACGGCTGCAGTCACCGTTTCCGAAGTGATTTTGGAGCCCAAGAAAATAAAATCTGTCACTGCTTCCATTTTTTTCCCCTTCTATTTGCCATGAAGTGATGGGACTGGATGGTACCATCAAATAATAATAATAATAATGTATCAATATTGGTTCATTAATTATAACAAATATAAGATATTAATAATAGGGGAAACTGAGTTTGAGGATATGAAAGAATTCTTTGTACTAGCATCACAATTTTTCTATAAATTTAAAAATGTTCTTTAAAAAAATGGATTAGAAGGAAATAAATCCTTCATGGTAACATATTTCAGTCATATAATCTAAAAATTATCCCCTACTTATTCAACTGAAAGAAGACAGATGGATATTTTTTCCCATGTAAGAAAATATGCACATTCACGATTACTTTTAGAATTTTGGTTTAAATATCTGATAAAGTGAAAACATGATTTTTAAAAGTCATACTTAATGCTAAATGTAGTAACCAGCACATCTCACCAAAACCTAAAATTTTAAACTAGAGAGCTAACTAATTGAGAAATCCCAGGAAAAGATTTTGTTCCTGAATCCTTAGTTTATAATTAAGTCGTGCCTATATTAAACAAACTCCCAAGATACAAGATTTAGGATTTACAAGCTACATAAACTGGAGAAACTGTCTTGCCAAAATAATTTATTAGACGTTCTTAAAACTATGGCTTCTAGTACTTTCAAATATAAAATGATTTCCAATAAACATTTTAGGAATTCATAAAGCAAGGTATTATCACATGTTCAACTTATTTTCTCCAATATTAAAGGATTGGGAAGTAAAATCTGGGAATCTAAAAGGCAGATTATTCTAAATTAAAATCCAACCCCCCCTTAATTCTTTTTGCTTTTTAATATAAAAAGTCAAATATGTTACCGGCCATCTCAGGTAGTGCTAGTGGTAAAGAACTTGTCTGCCAATGCAGGAGACACAAGAGACGGAGGTTCGACCCTTGGGTCAGGAAAATCCCCTGGAGGAGGGCATGGCAACCCACTCCAGTATTCTTGCCAGAAGAATCCCCATGGACAGAGGAGCCTGGTAGGCTACAATCCATGGGGTCACAAAGAGTCGGACACAACTGAAGGAACTCAGCAGGCACACAATGTGTCCAAGTATGACTGGGCAAAACATAATTTGTCCAATAGTCTAAAACAAATTGTTCCCATTTCAGATCTTCAATATCTCCCTTTTATGGTTGATCATTGGTAAGACTGATGCAATTCAAAATGTTTCGAAACAAATAGCATATACATGGTAGGGGAAACAACTCACATGATGTTAGTCATGATTTTCTTATACTCATAATGCCTTTTGGAAATTTTCTTCCAAAAGTTAATTAAAATATAAAATAATCACTGGAATCAAACAACATCATTTATATCAACATGAGGATACAAGACGAAACTAGTTAAACGGATTTACTAAATACCCAGTTACTCTTAAGAAAACTAATACATCTCCTGTAAATAAAGTGGCTAAACAAGAGGCTTTTTCTGAATTACAGACTGGGTTGAAACATTACCTCAGGAAAACACTAAGTAATGTCAGAAACATGCTCTACAACCCACTGTTTCTTTCAGCATGACTAAATCTTCCTAAAGAACTCTGCTACAAATCTTTCAACTTCTGAACAGAATCTTACTGTTAATAGGACATTTGGATGGCTATAAGTTACAGAAATGTTAAAGTTGAGGTCCAGATCCACTCTTTAAGGAAAAAAGGGGGTAAAAAGGGGACAACAAATAGGTAAATTGTTTTCAAACAGTGAACAAAACTGTCTTTAAAAACAAATATATTTTTCCCCTGAATTAACCTAGGTTCCACCCATTTGAAATGAACTTGCTACTATTAATCACTAATTTGGTGGATACAAAGGCCTTCAAAGCTTCTCTCAAAGCATTTTCAGTCTTTAAATATGATATCACTTGTTTAATTCTAACTGTCTCTCTCAAGGAAAAAAAAAAATAACCGAGAAGACCATAAAAGGGATCTATATGTTCCCTACTCTAAGAAACTGAATGAGGAAAAATATGTACATATGCACATACCACACACCTATAAACATGTACGCTCTTTACTAGCCAACTAAAAATGTGCGTGTGACTCCGGGATTATTATTTACTGTTTATATTTGTGTCTTATAGGATCATGTTGTATTTTCAATTTTTTCTTGATTTATCTTTACCATTACTGCACTAATTTCAACTAAGTGAGTACAGGAAGAGAGAACTTGAGATTTGAATCCAAAAGGAATTATTGCAAAAGCAGCTTTTTACTGAAACTTGTTTTAGCCTCAATGCAATTCTGTATTCTCAAACCCCCTAACAATCAAAATTCTCAGAACAGCCTTAATGAAACTACTCCCTCAAGAAAACAAATATTCTGAGACTATTTCTTAGGCGTCGGTAAAAAAAACTAAGCAATTTTACAAATAGTACACTTAAGACACCTACTTAACTGTATATAAATTTACTTCTCATTCCTCCAGAAAAAAAAAGTGAACTCTAGCTAATGGTGTACATGCTAAAGTGTTTATAGTGAAGTATACTGATGTATGCAACTTACACTGAGATAAATCAAAACAAATGAAGATGGCTTGATGAAGAGATGGATAAAATGTATATCAAGTATTAATTGCAGAATCTAGGTGGTACATATTTGAGTCCTGACTACAATATAAAATGGAGGGGGAAAGCCTAAGGAACTTTATACTCTGACAGCTAGGAACTCTTGTAACTTGATGAACTCAAACTAGTTTATGAATAATTATAACTTTAAGCCAGCAAAAATTACAGTGCCATATAAAAAACATGGCATGGATTTTTTCAAATTAGCATAATTTCTCTACTAGTTTTCAACATTTTCCTCACTCACTGATAGAATTTACTGACCAGGCACTGTACCTGGCTATGCACTCATATTTACTAGTTAAATCTCGCAACTCTACAACTAAGTAGTTATTACTCTCATTTCACACACAGAGAAATTAAATTATATGCCAAAGTTTACAAAACAAGATTAGGATTCCACTCAGATGTGACTCCTAAGCCCAAATTCTCCTTTTGTGGAAAATGGTAAGACTACAAAGAGGGAGGTACATACACCTCATCACTTAGGAACAAGAATAGTTTTCTGTAGACAATTCACTCCAACAATTAAATTTCAAACTAACATGCCTTTATCACCAAAAATATCACAGTGAAGATACTATTAGCATTTTTTAAGAGAAAGATTCTGAAAACTGCAGTGGTCACAAGATAGGTCAATGGTGACACTTGTAAAGAAAATCGAAGTATCCTTGGAACCAATTTCTGCCAGGTTATATATCATAAAAGGGAAGAACTAATCAGCTTAATTCCCACTAGAAACATCAAAGATGGGAGTCTTCTGTAAGTTATCGAAAAAAAAAAAAAAAAAGTCTATTAGGAAATAAACTTACAGGTTTGGAGACACAGTGGACAACACAAATGGTAGATGACCTAGGAAAACAGCCTCAAATAACACAAATGAAATCTCCAATCAGGTCCGATGAAGCCTAAGGCACTAATTCCAAAGTGATTTTTGAAAAGTTAAGACAAAGCAACCGAAATAACTGGATAAACTCTGGGAACCAGTATCAACTTCATGCACTCAGAAAGCAGAAGCCTATGATTTTTCTCACATAGGAGCTTACAGCTGAAGGTCCCAGCACTGGAAGTACCTACCTTTAGCAGCTTTAGGCATGTGATCTCTCCTCTTCAATTCTGAGTTAAGAGGAGACCAGTCTCACCTACATTATGACTAGTCAACAGCAAAGTGTTCTATACAATGCCAAACACTGGGGGCTTCCACAAAACGTTAACAGGTCTAACCCCCAGTTCCTCATAAGCTACAGTAGGAAAGAACGGACTGTTAGACAAATAGCTCACCTGGGAAGTGGACTCCGGCTCAGAGAGCGCTTGCTCAGAAAAGGGCTGCTGGACCGCCGTCGACCGTAGGGACTGGGTGATCTCCCACTGTAAGAGCCACTCCTTTCATAGCTGGAAGAACGTCGCCGGCTATAGGGACTCACAGACCTCTGTCGTCTACTGTAGGGACTGGGTGACCGAGTGCTGGACTGGTAGGCAGAAGGCTCCTTGTAAGGCGGGCTGATTGACGGCCTTCTAGAGGTACTTCCCGGACTCTTCTTGTAGGAGTCATAATTGCTAGAGGTGTGAGATCTCGGGGGACTAAGGTCATAATCTTGGCCGTAAGAAGCTCCGGAGGGACTATCATCTTGCTTGGGGCTGTCGGACCACTTCCGGTGGGGACTCCTGGATCTCCGTTTGGGGCTGTCCACTGTTTTGTAACTTTTGGGTGTTTCCCTTTTCCGATGACTTTTACTTCGGTCTTTGTGTCCCGACTTCAACTCACGTTCTTTCCGGGTCTTCTCTTTATGGAGTTTGGATGACCTGGATTCCTTGCTGCTGCTTTTCGAGATCTGCGCCTTCCCGTGGTCATCATTCTCCTCATTTGAACGCTTTGAACTTCCTGATATCCGGTCTTTCGTCGAGCCTGACTTGCTGGAGGCTTCCACTTTTTTTTCTTTCTCTGTCTGTTTAGTTTTTAATAAGTCGCGGGTACGTCGGTGCTGGTGGTGACGGTGTTTATGCTGGCGGTCGCTGCGATCAGTCCCGCGACGTTCATCATTTTCCCTCCGGTCCAGTTTGAAAGCCAGGTCGTCAGAGAAGGTATCGGAATCAGAGCTAATGTCATCATATTCCACCAAAGGTTTGATAACTGTGCCCAAAGGTGTTGCTTCGGGTGTCACCAATCCCATGTCTTTGGAGTGCTTGGACTTATGCCGCTTGTGCTTCGACCCCAAGCGGTGACGCTCTCTGCTGTTGGAGCTGCCACCTCCCGATGACGGCTGCAAAGTTCCAGAAGCTCCCCCACTCCCGTCCTTCTTGCCCCCATGTCTCTCTGGATTGGGCATTCCCTTTCCCCTGGCCTCAAAAAGGGGAAAAAGTTCCCCAGCACTCCAAAAAGTAACCCCCACCCTCCCCCCCAGCCCCACGCCTACCAAAGCGCCCCTACAAGGGGGTGGGGAGGGAAGGGACGGTAGTCCAGGTTCCTCCTCCCTCCCGTCTCCTCAGCACCCTCCTACATGAGGTGGGGGTGAAGGAGCCAAGGAAGAAATGAGAGTTCTCAGCAGTGGAGTTGCGAGACAAGTAGCTGCTCGAATCTGTTTCTCCTCCCCACGCCGAGCCAATCCTCGGGCCCCAGACGCCGGGGAGGTCGAAGAAGTAGGAAGCCGACGGCCCGGTGCTGTGGGGCCGACTCTGGCTCTGGGGCCCTGTGAGGACTGCGCGGGCCCTTCCCCTACCCGGTAGCCCGGCTCGGGGCGGCTTCCTGTCGCTGGGGTTCCGCGGCCTAGGTGCCTCACGCCCCTTTTGTCCCTCGCTCCTGAGGGAGCCCCTTCTCTAGCTTCCGCCTCACCTAAGTACCTCACACACTCGGCCCCTCACACAGACTCACAGTCACACACTAGGTTAAACCGAAACGGCACTAGGAGGAAGGCAGGGGGAGGGGGGTAATCCCAAGAAATACCGCGAGAATCTTCAGTAATCTCGCGGTATTTCGTGCTTCCCTTTCACCTCTCGCCTCTGCTAGCTCAAACAACGCGAGAGCAGGTCTCCAGTCAGAGGAGCCTTCCGCCAGATTCTCGCGATAAGAACCGGGCTCGCTATTTGAGCAAAACTTTATTTAAACGAACCAGGGAGAATTTTTTAACTTGAAACTTTATTGATAACTCATTGAACAAATACATTTTACGCTTCGGCGCAAACTAATTTTCGTGTGTGTGTGGGTGCGTGTGCGTGTGTGTGTGTGTGTAATGCTTACTCGCTCAGTCTTGTCCGGTTCTTTGCGACCTCTTGGACTATATAGCTGGCCTCTGTCCTTGGGATTCTCCAGGCGAGAATACTGGAGTGTGTTGCCATTCATTTGTCCAGGAGATGTTCCCCACCCAAGGATCGAACCCGGGTCTCCTGCATTGCAGGTGTATCTTTAACTTCTGCGCCACCAGGGAAGCCCCAATTTTTGCATAATCTATACAACTTCTTTAAGTATCAGCATGTTAACATTCCCAACTGGATAAAGGGCGAATGTGGTGCTATTTCAACCCAAGTCCGTAAGTATTAACAATTCTTCCAACTTGTGTAGCCTATACAACTACGTGCTAAATTATTACTGACTCTCATTGTACCCTGCAAAACACGATTTGCGTCATCCCTGTTTTAAAGATAAGGAAACCAGACTCAGATGCTCTCAGTGCCAGGACCCCCGGTTCTATCAGTGGTGGGGGAACTAGGATCCCACCAGCCATGCATCTAGGCCAAAGAAAAAGGAAGACCTAACAACTTTTTAATCATCTGTGGAAGTAATATTAATACTGTCAAGAAAAAAGAAAGAAAAAAAAAGTACAGAATTTAGTACTTGAACGCAGGTGTGGTGACTTACTCACTGCTGCAAAAGGGCCTGGATGTGAAGGTCTCCACCGTTGTTTAACATGATGGCAGATGGCAGGAAATTTAATGAGTCAATTAGACGAAGTGACTGGTCAGCCTTATTAAACATTGTCATGAGTTCAGCAAAATTACTGATTTTTTAAAAAATCTTTTAAATGAGATCAAGTATTTGACCCAGGATGCACCCACAACACACCCACAACAAAATGGAAAAGTGGGGATGGCAGAAATAATTGTGATGATGTGTCAAATAAAATCTTGAAGAATAAAATTCGTCATCCAAATTAATCCACCATCATATCAGCAGTAGAAACTTTATGTTTGAGTGATGGGGCTGGATTTTATTTTTTTTTTGTCAAGTAAATCTTTTGTTTTTAATTAATTTAGTTTTATTTGGAGGATAATTGCCTTACAGTATTATGTTGGTTTCTGCCATACATCAACATGAGTCAGCCATAGGTATACATAGTCTCCTCCATCTTGAACCTCCCTCCCACTTTCCACCTCATCCCACCGCTTACCATTCCAGCAGTAGAAACTTTATTTTTTTTAATTAATTTTTATTACAGTATAGTTGGTTTACAATGTTAGTTTCTGCTGTACAGCAAAGTGAATCAATTATACATTTACATATGCGTGTGTGTGTTAGTTGCTCAGTCGTGTTCGACTCTGCGACCCCATGACTGTAGCCCGCCAGGCTCCCCTGTCCATGGGGATTCTCCAGGCAAGAATACTGGAGGGGACAGCCATTCCTGTCTCCAGAGGATCTTCCCGACCCAGGGATCGAACCCTGGTTTCCTGCATTGCAGGCAGATTCTTTACCGTTTGAGCTACAGGGAAGTCCACGTTTACATTATCCACTCTTTTTTATATGTCCTTCCCACTTAGGCCACCAGCCACCACCAATCACTCAATAGGGTTCCCTGTGCTACATGGTAGGTTCTCATTAGTTATCTATTTTATACAAAAGAGAAGAAAATGGCAACCCATTCCAGTATTCTTGCTTGGAGAATTCCATGGACAGAGGAGCCTGGTAGGCTACAGTTCACGAGGTCACAAAGAGTTGGATATGACTTAGCAACTAAACCACTACCACCACAGTGTATATATTGTTGTTCAGTCACTCAGTTGTGTCTGACTCTTTGTGACCCTGTGGACTGCAGCATGCCAGGCTTCCCTGTCCATCATCTCATGGAGCTTGCTCAAACTTCTGTCCATCGAGTCAGTGATGCCATCAAACCATTTCATCCTCTGTCGTCCCCTTCTCCTCCTACCTTCAGTCTTTCCCAGCATCAGGGTCTTTTCTAATTAGTCCGCTCTTCACATCAGGTGGCCAAAGTATTGAAGCTTCAGCTTCATCATCTGTCCTTCCAATGAATATTCAGGGTTGATTTCCTTTAGGATTGACTGGTTTGATCTCCTTGTAGTCCAAGGGACTCTCAAGAGTCTTCTCCAACACCACAGCTCAAAAGCATCAATTCTTTGGCACTCAGCCTTCTTTATGATCCAGCTCTCACATCCATACATGACTACTGGAAAAACCATAGCTTTGACTATATGGACCTTTGCTGGCAAACTGATGTCTCTGCTTTTTAATACGCTGTCTAGGTTGGTCATAGCTTTTCTTCCAAGGAGCAAGTGTCTTTTAATTTCATGGCTGCAGTCACCATCTGCAGTGATTTTGGAGCCCTAGAAAATAAAGTCTGTCACTGTTTCCATTGTTTCCCCATCTATTTGCCATGAAGTGATGGGACCAGATGCAATCATCTTAGTTTTTTGAATGTTGAGTTTTAAGCAAGCTTTTTCATTGTCCTCTTTCACCTTCATCAAGAGGCTCTTTACTTCCTCTTTGCTTTCTGGCATAAGGGTGGTGTAATCTGCATGTCTGAGGTTACTGATATTTCTCCTGATATTTCTCTTGATTCCAGCTTGGGATTCACCCAGCCTGGCATTTCACATGATGTACTCTGCATAGAAGTTAAATAAGCAGGGTTACAATATTCAGCCTTGACGTACTCCTTTCCCAATTTGGAACCAGTCTGTTGTTCCATGTTCGGTTCTAACTGTTGCTTCTTGACCTGCATACTGGTTTCTCAGGAGGCAGGTAAGTTGGTCTGGTATTCCCATCTCTTTCAGAATTTTCCACAATTTGTTTTGATCCACACAGTCAAAGGCTTTAGCATAATCAGTGAAGCAGAAGTAGATGTTTTTCTGGAATTCTCTTGTTTTTTCCTGTGATCCATCAGATGTTGGCAAGTTGATCTCTGGTTCCTTTGCCTTTTCTAAATCCAACTGGAACATCTGGAAGTTCTCGGTTCACATACTGTTGAAGCCTAACTTGGAGAATTTTGAGCATTACTTGCTAGTGTGTGAAATGAGTGCAGTTCTGTGGTAGTTTGAACATTCTTTGACATTGCCTTTCTTTGAGTTTGGAATGAAAACTGACATTTTCCAGTCCTGTGGCCACTGCTGAATTTTCCAAACTTGCTGGCATATTGACTGCAGCACATTCACAGCATCATCTTTTAGGATTTGAAACAGCTCAGTTGAAATTCCATCACTTCCACTAGCTTTGTTTGTAGTGGTGCTTCTTAGGCCCACTTGACGTCACACTCCAGAATGTCTGGCTCTAGGTGAGTGACCACACCTTCATGGTTATCTGGGTCATAAAGATCTTTTTTGTATCGTTCTTCTGTATATTCTTGCCACTTCTTGATATCTTCTGCTTCTGTTAGGTCCATACCGTTTGTCTTTTATTGTGCCCATCTTTGCATGAAATGTTCCCTTGGTATCTCTAATTTTCTTGAAAAGATCTCTGTCTTTCCCATTCTACTGTTTTCCTCTATCTCTTTGAATTGATCACTTAGGAAGGCTTTCTTATCTCTCCTTGCTATTCTTTGGAACTCTGCATTCAGATGGGTATATCTTTCTTTTTCTCCTTGCCTTTCGCTTCTCTTCTTTTCTAATATATTTGTAAGGTTTCATCAGACAACCATTTTGCCTTTTTGCATTTCTTCTTCTTGGAAATGGTTTTGATCACCACTTCCTGTACAATATTACAAACCTCTGTCCATAGTTCTTCAGGCACTCTGTCTATCAGAATATCGATCCCAATCTCCCAGTTCGTCTCACCCACCCTTCCCCCTTGGTAATCGTAAGTCTGTTCTCTATATCTGTGACTCTATTTCTGCTTTGCCAATAAGCCATCTGTACCATTTTTCTTGAATCCACATGTAAACAATGTTATACAATATTTGCTTTTCTCTTTCTGACTTATTTCACTCTGTATGACGATCTCTGGGTCCATCCATGGTTCTGCAAGTGGCATGTGGGATTTTAGTTCCCAGACCAGGGATCAAACCCTTGCCCCCTGCATTGTAAGGTGGGTTCTTAACCACTGGAACACCAGGGAAGTTTCAAATCCTTTCTTAATTATCTGTTTCCTGTTGAAGCAGACTAGAAAAATGAATAGTGAATGAAGTGTGTTATTGAGTTTTTATAATACCTTCTATTTCTACAGCACTTTTCAATTTTCCACAGAAGTCATTTAAACCTGTCAATAAATATCAATTAAACAAATAAATAACCTGATGAGGCGACCAGGATGAGTATTATTATATGCAACTCCTAAAGGCTGAAACTGAGACTCAGAAGGAGTTGGATCACATTTACACTAGTAGTAAATGACAGAAGGGACAGCTCTTTCTGTAATCCTAAGCACTGCACTTATTTTTTTTCTCTTTTTTTGGCCACACCGAGGGACTTTCAAGGGATCTTTGTTCCATTCCATATATAATAGTTTGCATCTGCTAATTCCAAACTCTCAGTCAAACCCACCCCCACCCATCCTCCCATGGGCAAACACAGGTCTGTTTTCTATGTCTGTGAGCCTGTTTCTGTTCCACAGATAAAGTTCATTTGTGTCATATTTTGTTTTCTTTTGCCACACCTTGCAGCATGTGGGATCTAAGTTCCCCAAACAGGGATCCAACTTGTATCCTCTGCAGAGGAAGCAAAGAGTCATAATCACTGTACCACTACGGAAGTCCCTGTGTTGAAGAAGAGTCTAGAGAGTTCCTTGGACTGCAATGAGATCAAACCAGTCAATCCTAAAGGCAATCGACCCTGGATATTCATTAGGAGGAATGATGATGAAGCTGAAGCTCCAGTACTTTTGCTACTTGTTGTGAAGAGCCAGCTCATTGGAAAAGACCCTGATGCTGGGAAAGATTGAAGGCGGGAGGAGAAGGGGATGACAGAGGGATTAGATGGTTGGATGGCATCACCAATTGGCATCATCAATGGACATGAGTTTGAGCAAGCTCAGGAAGATACTGAAGGACTGGAAAGCCTGGCATGCTGCACTTGATGGGGTCACAAAAGGTCAGACACAACTGAGCTACTGAACGACAAAAGTTTGTCATTGCTTTTCTTCCAAGGAGCAAGTGTCTTTTAATTTCATTGCTGTTGTCACCATCCACAGTGATTTTGGAGCCCAAGAAAATAAAATGGCATTATTCCATCACACACACACACACACACACCACATCTTGTTATGTTGTTATCCATTCATCATCTGTCAACGGACATTTAGGTTGTTTCCATATTTTGGCTACTGTGAATAGTGCTGCTATGTCCAGATACATGTCCAGGAGTGGGATTGCTGGCTCCTATGGCAACTCTAGTTTTTTGAGGAGCCTCCTTACTGTTTTCTATAGTGGCTGCACCAATTTACATTCTCACCAACAGAGTAAGAGGATTCCCTTTTCTTCAAGTCTCTACAGGATTTGTTATTTGTTGCCTTTTTAATGATGCCCATTCTGACCAGTGTGAGGTGGTACCTCATTGTAGGTGTTTTTTTTTTTAAAGATCTATGTATTTATTTATTATTTATCTTATTATTTGACTGTGGTGGGTCTTTGTTGTTGCATGTGGGCTTTCTTTAGTTGTGGTGAGTGGGGACTACTCTTGTGTTAGTGTGAGGACATATTGCAGTGGCTCTCTTGTTACAGAGCACAGGCTCTGTGCAGTCTGCATGTGGGTTTCAGTCTTTGTGGTTCTTGGGCTCTAGAGAGCAGGCTCAGTAGTCGTGGTGCATGGGCTCAGTTGCTCCACAGCATGTGGGATCTTCCTGGACCAAGGACTGAACCTAGTGTCCCTTTGCACTGCAAGGCAGATTCTTAACTGCTGAACCATGAGGGAAGCCACTCATTGTAGTTTTTGACTTGCACGTTTCTCTAATAATTAGCCATGTTGAACATATCTTTCTGTGCCTGCCTGTTGGCCATCTGTGTGTCTTCTTTGGAGAAATGTCTCTTTAGTCTTCTGCCCATTTTTGCTTGGGTTGTCTTTTTGTCATTGAGTTGTATGAGCCATTTATATATTTTGGAAATTAAGCCCTTCTTAGTCTCTTCATTCTCAAATGCTTTCCTCCCAGTCTATAGGTTGTCTTTTTATTTTATGGTTTCCTTTGCTGTACAAAAGTTTGCAAGTTTGATTAGGTCCCTTTAAAAATTTTTTTTATTTTCATTGCCTTGGGAGACTGACCTAAGAAAACATTGGTACACTTTATGTCAGAGAATGTTTGCCTATGTTCTCTTCTAGGAGTTTTATGGTGTTAGATCTTTAAGCCTTTAAGCCATTTTGACTCTCTAAAATTTTAAATACAAAACATACTATAAACTGCTGGGACTGGTCCAACAAATGGCGAGGGCTGTGCCTTTGTAGAACAAGGCTTCACTCTACAGGAAAACTTTGAACTCAGAAATTCCAGGGCTGCATGATTTGTTTGTTTCATGATCTCCTAGGGCAGGGAGTCAGGGTAACTCTGGGAAGCCCAAGTGGCCAGTCAGGTGATGACTGTAGTTTCCCTGTAAGTCCCCCAAAGCAAGTCAGAAAGCTTCTCTTTAGGCTCTATGCAAGAGGAAATATTTAACTAGTTATAATAATTTCCCCTCACCCCAAGTCCAACTTGTTAGTTTAGATTTTGGTTTTAAGAGCCTCTGAAGTCTCCCTCAAAGCTTAGTCATTTAAAATTTGTCCATGGTCCTATTTTTGGTGTGTGTGTGTGTGTGTCACTTGAATTACTTTTCTTATTTAATGACATGTCTCTCCTATCTTTGACTTTTTATAAAAATGGATGTCTTTAAAAAAAATCTGTTTATTTTTATTTTTGACTATGTTGGGTCTTAGTTGCAGCATGGGTGATCTTTGTTGTGGTGCTCAGGCTGAGTTGCCCTGCGGCATGTGGAATCTTGGTTCCCTCACCCACTGGGGACCAAACCCCTGTCTCCTGCCTTGAGAGGCAAATTTTAATCACTGGACCACCAGGGATCTTTACTTTTATTTATTTATTTATTTTTTGGATCTTTACTTTTAGAGTACAAATTTTCAACAATGTCATTTCATCTGCATTTTCAGATGAGAAATAGTAACTTATTCTATTTTGTGACTAAAATTTGGTAAAGTTTATTGTTTTCAAGTTTTATATGGTTTAACAATTCCTAGCTACACTAGTACAGTATTTATTGTTCACTTGTACAAAGAGCTTGCATGAGAAACTGTAGCTGTGTATTCAACAGTCATGCTTTGAACATGATTAACAAAATATTTTTGAGTGCCTACAGTTTCAGTGACCAGTCATATTTTCAGAACTCTAAATCAGGTGAACCCATCAAGGGCTAGGGCTGTGTTGTCAAGTGTATATTACCAGCTTCAAATACACAGGTATTAGGACTCCACAGATGCTTGTTGAAACAGCATTTTAGTTTATTTTTTGGCTGCACTGGGCAGTTTGTGGGATCTTAGCGCCTGAACCAGGGATGAAACCTGGGCCCTTGGCAGTGAAAGCATGGACTCTTAACCACTGGACCGCTGGGGAATTCCCACAGCATTTTATTTTTTATTTATTTTTTTTTTCCCCCACCCCCCACCCTCCCACAGCATTTTAAATATGAACTATCTTTGGAAATTCTCAGTTGGGTAAATTCTCTCTGTACTTCTTCAATGTTAATATTGCTAGATTTATATTCTATAATATTTGGAACATACTTTTATACTAAAAAATGTAATTATTTAAAATTAAAATTTAACTGAGTGTTCTGTCTTTAAAAAACCTGACAACCTATCAATTTGCCTCTGTATATACATTGAGTCTCTGACATGTGTCAGGAACTAGGCTAGGCAGTATCACTAGACTAGACAGTAGTGAAAGAAATAGACCCAGTGCAGCCACCCTCCGGGATTTGATAGTTTAGCAGGGAAGACAGACATTGAATACATCATCATATACTTAATTAAGTACTGAAATAGTATAACAGAGGACCTTATTAAGTCAGGGTTTAGAGAAAGTTTGCATCTCTAGTCCAGATCAAGAGACATTTACTTTGAGAACTATACAAGAGGGCCTCAGTGAGATGAGGCGGAATGGAGAAGGGGAAAGCCTTCCTGCAGTTAAAAAGGCCTGTTCAAGGACCTTGGGAGAGGAAGGAGTGAAGCAATTGTCTGCAGGTGGAAGGTCAGTGTGGCTGGGGTTTGGCAAGGGGAGAAGAGCTAGATTTAGAGAGGAATTTTAGGGCCAGTAAAAGATTTTCCTACTAAGCCCAGGTACAATGCTAGGTAGTGGGGATTTCGAAATGAGGGGCAATTACTGCCTCAAGAAACTCTCTGTGTAGTGACTGAAAGGAATGAGGGTAAGAGGAATAGACAAGAAGTAAAATTAAATTCTACTTTCAAAGAGTATGGTTATACATATCTTTGTCGAAATAAGCATGTCACAAATAGAGATTTGTTCTTATGTCTGTTCATCTCAACTGTAGTTACCAGCAGGAATTGTTTTGGAGGATGTTTGCATATCATTTTTGAAATATGGGGAAAAGTCTGAGACTAAAAATCCAGTGGAAATCCACTGCTAAATATCCTTACAGCAAATTAGGTAAAATCCGACTTTTCAGCAGTTATTCTCAAGGATGTATTTGAAAAAAAAAGAAAGAAAAAAAAGAGTAACCTTAACTATTTTAAGAACTTCCACCCAGTGCTAGTAGAATTGTATTTTAGTCTGGCTCTTGTTCCAATGGGCAGGAACTTCTAACTTATTGGCATTACTCTAGATTTCTCTTCGTGAAAATTTACTGATACAAGAGACAGGACCACACATTCTTTGTGATTTGTAGTGTAGAGTGTGAGCTAACCTGCTTGCTTTTACGGACTACAAAAAAAAAATTACAATCCATTGTGAACACCTTTGGGATCCTAAATATAATTAGCAGTATCTGATGGCTGCTGAATATTCATTGGAAGGGCTGATGCTGAAGCGCCAATATTTTGGCCACCTGATTGACGCGAAGAGTCCACTCAATGAAAAAGATCCTGATGTTAGGAAGGATTGAGGGCAGGAGAAGGGGAGGACAGAGGATGAGATGGTTGGATGGCATCACTGACTGGAGGGACATGAGTTTGAGCAAGCTCTGGGAGTTGGTGATGGACAGAGAAGCCTGGCCTGCTGCAGTTCATGGGGTCTTAAGAGTCGGACACGACTGAGCGACTCACCGAACTGATGACTGCTGCAAACAAGTTTTTCTTAACTCAAAATCTTCCACGTCCTCAGAAATATTGAAATTGCTCAAGAGAAATATTTCTGAAATTAAAAAGGAAATTAGGTAATGGAAATTAAGTGTACTGGGCTACCTTGGGACGTCGTGTTACAAAGACCCACCGTCTAGTATCTCAATAAAGGGAATGTTTTAATAAAATATTCCTAACAACAACATTCTTCCAAAAGCTAGTATTTCAGTAAAGACAGCTGGGGTTTTACTTTGCAAACTGCTTAAAAGCCAAACCGAAAGTACCAACTTCCGCAGAGGTGTTGAACACTACCACTACACAAGCTCCACACCTAGCTCCGGGAAGTCGGAGGCAAACCAGAGAGCAGGCAGGGTGGGGATAATCTCGCGAGAAGCAACGTATAAATTATTCGTGATATTTGGTGCCCAGCCCCTTTCCTCTCTCTCTCGCTCTCTCGCTCTCTCTCTCTCGCAGGATCACGGTTAATCTCGCGATCTTTTGGAAGTTCCGTTGGGGAAGATGGCGGCGGCCGCGAGCACCCTTCTCTTCTTGCCGCCGGGGACTTCAGACTGAGTCTTCCCTGGAAGAGTGGGACTGCAGGTGCCCTGCGTCCCGGGAGCCCGAACCAACTTGGTTCCTCCATTACTGGTGGGGAAGGGCATATCCTCTTGTGTAGGACTTAGGCCCTCCCCGCCGTCAGGATGAAGGCTCAGGGGGAAACCGAGGGTGAGTGACTGAGGGGGAAAGCAGGGGGCGGGACACAGCTGGGGGAGCCAATGCCTCCGCGGGGGCCACTCTCCCGAGGGCTCAGGATCTAGGAGGCGGGATGTGTCTGAGTTTCAGATTCTGACTGCCTTCCTTGGTGATGGAGAGCTTCGACTTTGGGGAGATGGGGGCTCCCAACTTCTGTGAAGGTTCTCTATGTGGCAAGGGGCAACATTTGGGCCTCGGGGCATTTTTTAGCCTAAAGAGATGGGAGACCGGGCAAGTGAATGTAAAACTTGCTCCTTCCAAAAGAGAAATCTGAATGATGACATAAAGCAGTAATACAACGCTGTATAGTATATCAAAGTACTGTAAGATGTTTTGGCGTGAAGGAAATGATTAGGTCCTTATGGTATTAAAAGCCAGTAGTTTTCAAAAATGTCACAGTGTTCATATCTTGTGGTACTGTATATTTTTAAAATGCTTTTAATTTCAGATTTTCAATATATGAACTAAGAACTGCTGAAAAACAGTTTTCTGTGTAACTTTATATTCTCTAAAGTTCCACATTTCAGCTTAAATGCTTCCTTAGCACTTTGGACATAGTTCTATTGATACACGATTATTTTCTTGTCTTCTCCAATGTACTCTGAGCTTTGTAGAGCAGGATCTTGCCTTACTCATCATTATATAGTCCTGGGCACATTATGTTGTGTTGTTCTGTTAGTCACTCAGTCGTGTCTGACTCTGTGACCCCACGGACTGCAGCCCACCAGGCTCCTTCGCCTATGGAATTCTCTAGGCAAGAACACTGGAGTGGGTTGGCGTTTCCTTCTCCCGGCACATAATAGTTGCTTAAAAAAAGTTTCATTGAAGCATTTTTGTAAAGATATTTGTCATCGGCCTTCTCAAGGGAGAGAAGGGAGGTGTGTTTGAAGGAGAAGAAGAAAAAAGGGTGCAGAGGAATGACAAGTGTAAGTGGAATCTTACTAAGACAGGAATTTTGTCTAGTTTGCTCACTGCTGTATCTCCGAGATATAAAATAGTGCCTGAGTGAATGTCTTAAATTTGGGAATTGCCAAACATTTCTCCAGAATTATAAACTGGATGAAACAGTCCCAAAAACAGTTTTCCAGAAGATGAAGGCATTGGAGGGAGGAGTTGAATCTCAATTTGAAGATGTCACTACAACTTTGATTGCTGACATTCTATTCATCTTTCAAGACATCTTTTCTGTAACATCCCTAAACTAATTACACACTTTTCCTCCTTTGAATTTTGATAGTAATGTGTGTCTGTTTTTAAGAGCATATCTCATTTTGCTTTGTGTGATGGTTATTTTCACATTAACTTATCCACACCCCCTCACAGATGTCATCTCAGGCATATTGTATTTTTGCCCTGCTGGCCTCCAGCACAGTCCTTGCGCATGTTAAGCAGTTAAAAGAATTACAGGGGTGTTGGAGGTTGTAGGAGGTTCCTTCAAACACTATCTGGGATCCATTCTTTTCTATCTTTCTCTTACCTTTGCCTGAAACTCATCCTTTAGTCACTTGACATCTTCCTTGTTCATATAGTTTGAATTTGAACAGGAAATATCTGAATGGCAAATGAAGCTTGTTTTCTTGATAATACTTACAAATTGATCTCTTAAAATTATGTGAAAAAATTAAGAAAGTCTGTGTTTTCACATTGAAAACCAACCGTAGTAAAGAAAGTGAAATCGCTCAGTCTTGTCTGACTCTTTGCGACCCCGTGGACTGTATGTAGCCTACCAGGCTCCTCTGTCCATGGGATTCTCCAGGCAAGAATACTGGAGTGGGTTGCCATTTCCTTCTCCACAGGATCTTCCCGACCCAGGGATCGAACCCGGGTCTCCTGCATTGCAGGCAGAGGCTTTAACCTCTGAGCCACCAGGGAAGCCCAACCATAGTAAGGCCATGTTCAAATGTATGCTCTGCATATGTCATGCAAGGGATTTCATGCATATCATGAAATTATTTTGTCTTGATCCTCAGGACTGGAGATGGTTCTTTTTTTGCTTCTCATTAAGTCTGAAGAGAAAGCAGTCCCCTTCTATAGTGTTTGTTAGATTAGACCCATAATTTCTGTCTACTTGTTATTAGAAATGAATTCTTTGTGTATTTTGAAGTAAATTATATTGGAAAAGATTTTAACTGAGTTCGTTCCAGGATGAAGTTTGGGAGTTTTGTTTGCAAGAAAAACTGTGGAAGGTCTTGAAAGAAGAGTTGCTAATGATGTTTTCTGATTTATATCTTAGAGTCGGAAAAGCTGAGTAAGATGAGTTCTCTCTTGGAACGGCTCCATGCAAAATTTAACCAAAATAGACCTTGGAGTGAAACCATTAAGCTTGTGCGTCAAGTCATGGTGAGGATTATGGTGAAGTAGATAAAGTGTTGTGCTTAGAAAATTATTTGATAAGCTAAGTTACCTGTGTAGACTTTTTCTAGCTAGTTATAATGGTGTGTCTTCAGTTTTATTTCTTGTAACATCATACGTACATGATGGCTTTCAACTTTTAAGAGTCTACCTAAGAACAAGGTATGTTAATAGAATTGTGTTAATTATGAGTTATAGTAGGCTGGGATATTTTAGGCAAAAGTTGTAAGAAACACACTTATAAAACATAATAAGTTTCCTAGTGGCCTAGTGTTTAGGATTCCCAGCTTTCATTACTGTAAACCTGGGTTTAGCCCCTGGTTGAGGGACTAAGATCCCACAAGTCCCACAGCGCTGCCAAAAAAAAAAAAGATACACGTGATAGCCTGATATAGAAACATTTACTTTTTACTTCCTATCAAGCTCCTTGATTCTGATGTGTTAATACTTTCATTGTATCTATACTGGTAGTAGGGTTTACAATCATTTTTAATTAACATCACTTGTTTACTCTGTGACTTTGTCTACAGTACTTTCTCCTTCCTGAGGCATTCACCAGTATGAGGAGCCCTTAGTTAAGTGGAATACAGGGAGTGGGGTGAGTGTATAGCACAGCACTAGTAAGAGAACTGAATTTGCTGTCAAAAAAAACTTTATTTTTTTTTTAATTTATTTTTTAATTGGAGGAAAATTCCTTTACAATGTGTTTTTTTTTTTTCCATTTATTTTTATTAGTTGGAGGCTACTTACTTTACATCATTGCAGTGGTTTTTGTCATACATTGAAATGAATTAGCCATGGATTTACATGTATTCCCCAAAAAAAACCTTTATTTTAATCTTGACTCCACTACTACCCCTGTAACCTTGGACAAATTATTTGTTTTTTCCCACTCTCAATTTCCTCATCTAGAAGGTAGAGACACCAATTTGAGTAAGATGAGCAACACTAGTTTGCTTTTTCACACAGTTTTGCTGTAAAGATCAAATGAGATAATGGACACCAAAATGTCATGTTGCTTAGAGATTTCTGTAACTAAGTTCTACAGATATCTTCTGGCTCAGGATTGTATACATAAAAAGAGATTTGGAAAGAAAAAAAAAGATTTGTAGGTTTTTTTTTTAAGTCTTAATGAAAATTTTTCCAGTCTGGGTACTCAGAGGTTGTCGTTTTTATACTAGAAGGCAGCCATATTCTAGTTTGAGATACCACCTATAAATGATACTGTCATTAGAGAAACAGCATGAGCTAGAGGACTCCAGGTGGCTACTAAGACCCTCTCTTGGGTTACTAGTTCTTGGTTTGGTCACCATAGCTTTCATTGTCTACTTGTCACTTTTGCAGATTCAGAAACCTACTTTTATTGGTATATAAAAGATTTTTAAGAATTTTCAACAACTGTGTGTGTGCATGCTAAGTCTCTTCAGTCATGTCCAATTCTTTACTATGGACTATAGTGTGCCAAGCTTCTCTGTCCATGGGATTCTCCAGGCAAGAACACTGGAGTGGGTTGGCGTTTCCTTCTCCCGGCACATAATAGTTGCTTAAAAAAAGTTTCATTGAAGCATTTTTGTAAAGATATTTGTCATCGGCCTTCTCAAGGGAGAGAAGGGAGGTGTGTTTGAAGGAGAAGAAGAAAAAAGGGTGCAGAGGAATGACAAGTGTAAGTGGAATCTTACTAAGACAGGAATTTTGTCTAGTTTGCTCACTGCTGTATCTCCGAGATATAAAATAGTGCCTGAGTGAATGTCTTAAATTTGGGAATTGCCAAACATTTCTCCAGAATTATAAACTGGATGAAACAGTCCCAAAAACAGTTTTCCAGAAGATGAAGGCATTGGAGGGAGGAGTTGAATCTCAATTTGAAGATGTCACTACAACTTTGATTGCTGACATTCTATTCATCTTTCAAGACATCTTTTCTGTAACATCCCTAAACTAATTACACACTTTTCCTCCTTTGAATTTTGATAGTAATGTGTGTCTGTTTTTAAGAGCATATCTCATTTTGCTTTGTGTGATGGTTATTTTCACATTAACTTATCCACACCCCCTCACAGATGTCATCTCAGGCATATTGTATTTTTG